CTCTATTGTCAAGTGGCATTATTAAAGAAACAATTCAATTTGTGTGTATTTTTATAATAATGTCTTCTCTCACTAATTAAATGCATTTCTTTGGTTTACTGACCAAAAAAGTCTACTTCTGATGAATTGTTTTTGATTTATTTTTCTGCAGTTTACTCAAAGGGGCCAAATGGGTTTGTTCCAGCTCATGACGTCGATCTACAACTTCCTTTTTCCCCAAGAGAGACCCCAAAATGCAAGAGCCCACAGATGAGAGCACACAACGCACTTGTTCAGGACCCAATCTGAGTTTTGCATAAAGCTCTGACATGCGCAGATCTGGATTTATGTGACTCAAAAAGAAGGTTGCCGCTGGTCGGAGACTTCTCTCCTTTTTCTGAAGAAGCCATACTCAAAGTGAAGCATTGGTGGAATATTTTCTGCTGGCTGCATATCAGTATGAGCACATTAATATTCTGCCTTATGTTCCCCCCAACGTACATTCACATATGAGTGGATCTCAGATCGGTGAATGCCTTAAAAAAATCAGTCAAAGGAAGGAAGAACTGCTTTAATAGGCAAAGAGCTGTGAGAATACTCAAGGTCTGCACACTGTGATGTGTGTGTTTGAGTATTTGTGGTGATTTAAATACACCTACTGAACCCCGGCGCATCCAGAAGACTCCTGGTGAATCATGGCTTGTGCTTGGTTCACCGCTGTTATCCTCAGTCCTATTGAAGGACAGGATGGATAAGAGATGTAATAGGCCAGTAACATGTTTCCGGACACACAAAACCTGAAAAGGTTTGCAGAAAACAACTTGAACATCAGGTTCTACCTGTATATCAATAATGAGCCATTTTCTAGAACAACACGGGGACCGATATGAATTTTGTCATTTCAAGATGCTGAAGATTGTGTTTAGACATCATGAAAACAATTCAATTTACAACAATTCAGAAATATTAGTTTGCCTTAATGAATTCTACTGTCATATATCACACAGACTACATAATGCCATGGTTTCTCTCAGGCACTGAAGTATTACTTTAGAAATCAGTGTTCAAAACATCTTAGTAATTGGTGAAGATCAACTGTGCTCAAAGAGCAATACACCAAATCATCTTCTACAGTTCAACTCAAGCGATAAATGCAATCAAAACCAACAAATCCATAATGAGAACCTATAAGTTTTGTATTAGTATGTATATGTCAATTAATAGTAACTATAAAGAGGTTTATATAAGGCAACTGTAAATGTTTTAAGAGGGAATGCGTCCTCGAAGGGATATTTTGCTCAATTATTATTATTTTTCATCATTTACTCACCTTTTATGTCATTTGAAACATTCCTGTATTTTCGTCAGGTATGGCGTCTTATTTAATTTAGGCGGGAAGTAAAGAAAAGCTGAGGTAATGACGAAAATCGCTTAAAAACATACAAAGCTAATTGGAAAACTTCATTATACATCCGCAAAAAAATATATATGGTGTCTACCCAAGTTTGTAAATGATTAGTTTTTATTTTAACTGTCCCTTTAAGCACGAGGACGACGATGAACTCAGATGCATTCGATTTATTTACAGAGCGTCCAGAGAAACGGTTAGCTCGCGCCATCACGTGACTGACTCATGACCTGGCGCGATATGAATATTTAAGAGTTTGTATATGATAAGATATAAAGCGAGGGATTTTATTTTCCATATATATATTTGTAAACTCACAATGTAAAGTGAAAGTATTATAAATATGAGATTTATAATTTAAGTTATTACAGAATAGATATCGTTCCATGCTTTCTTTTGTGGTACAATCTTCTGAGGTGCCTGTACTTTGCGGTTTACAATTTGACATGGTTTGCTTGTGCAATGCATTATCGATAGATTTAATCACATAATGTCGTCTGTATAATGTTATTAGAGACCATGAAGACGGTGTGAATATAATGTTGACCGTCAGAGTCCACATAATTCACATTATTATATACACTAGCAGTCAAAATATGCAAATGATAAGATTGGTTAATGTTTTAAAAGAAAGAAATTCATTTATTTGATAATAAAAAATAAAGCAAAAACTGTGAAATAGCCTATGATTACAATTATAAATGTTTTGCAATTTCTTTTTAAACATTTGATTTATTCCTGTGATTCAAAGCTGAAGTTTCATCACCATCATAGCTTTTATTTGCAATCGTTTTTAACATTATAAATGTATTAATGATGTAAAAAAAAGCTTAAAAATATTAGCTTGTACTTTCTTTATTAATTTTAAAATTAATTTAAAATGAGAATTTCCACAATACTATGAATCAGGACAAAAAGTTTTCAGCACTGATCATTATTAGAAAATTTTGTACCATCAATAACTGATCATAAAATATCTTATTACTACGATTTCTGTACATTCACTGAAGACTGGAGTAATGATGATGAAAATTCAGCTTTAAATCACAGCAATAGGTTAAATTTGAAACTAAATTTAATAACAAAACCTTGTAATAAAATTTTACAGTTTTTGATCAAATAAATGCAGTTTTGGTGAGCCAAATTAGCTTAAAACATTAACAAAATCTTACCGTTTCTCGGAGTTTCATTGATTTAATTCACAACAAGGGACTTAATAAACATTCCTCAAGAACGTAAATGTAACCACATTACCCCAAAGACTCCCTTTTTCCAAAGGTAATAGGCCTACAAACCAATACAAATCATAAACAAAACTCAAATAAACAACAGCCAAAAAAATAATGAAAATAATAAAATAAAACTGTTCACAATGTTGATTTTTAAGAAGCCATTTCTTAACATTATAAGAGATTGTAGTATGAAATTTCACTGATGTGATGCTGTGAAATAAAAAAGCAGCTTGACCAAAAGAGGCTTTTCAAAGTGGAATACTGCAATAGCTACACCTCAATGCAAACTTTTGACTGCTAGTGTATGAATATACATATATATTCCGATTTCAGCTCATTTTCTCTGGCCAAGGTGATTTTTCCAGTGCTGTGCTGTGCTTGTCCTGTTGTTCTTCTGACAGGTGTGCCTCATGCTTGTGTATTGGTAACAATGACACTTGCAGACAATCAAAACAGCTGAAGGTGCCTTAGAACAGCAGGCCGACGATGAGGATTTGATGCCAACATCTCGAGCACCCAAACAAACAGACAGACAACTGTGGATTATAGGTCACAAATGAACTGGTGAATTTATGAATACCTCCACCTAAACACCAGGGAGCTCAAATAGACTATCAATGAATGAACAATGACGGACAGGAACAGGCTGCTGCCTCATTTATCTGAAATGCCCTTTCAAATGCACTTGTTTCAGAAAAAGAAGTCAAAAGAAAAAAAAAAAAGGTCTAAAACGGCAAGCTGTTTTTACTTTTATTTTGGAATGTGTACGGGATGTTAATGCGGATTGTTTTTTTAATTTTGCTACTTGAAATAATTATACAGTTTGATAAATATATGATAAAATGCTGTTATAAAATTGTCAGATAAGATGTCTTTTTTTACCTATATATCACAAATGCTGTCATATAAATGCTGAAACTTTTTCTGCAACCGTCACTGCATTAAAATATTTATGGATACTCATTTGACCTCACTTTGTGATTGTTTTTTACACACACACACACACGCACGCACACGCGTGTACAATTTATACATACAGTTTAAGTCAGAATTATTAGCCCCCCCTTAGATTTATCTTTTTTTAAATTTTTCCTTGATGTTTAACAGAGCTAAGAAATTTTCACTGTATGTCTGATATAGTTTTTTCTTCTGGGGAAAGTCTTATTTGTTTTATTCTAGCTAGAATAAAAGCAGTTTTTAAAAATAATAATAATAAAAACATTTTTTAGATCAAAATTATTAGCCCCTTTAAGCAATTTTTTAATAGTCTACAGAACAAACCAAACTTCCCTAATTACCCTAACCTGCCTAGTTAACCTAAATTACCTAGTTAAGCCTTTGAATGTCACTGTAAGCTGTACAGATGTGTCTTGAAAAATATCTAGTCAAATATTATTTACTGTCATCATGGCAAAGATAAAATAAATCAGTAATTAGAAATGAGTTATTAAAACTATTTGGTTTAAAAATGTGTTGAAAAAAAATCTGCTCTCCGATAAACAGAAATTGGGGAACAAATAAACAAGAGACTAATAATTATAAAAGTATTCATATATATATATATATATATATATATATATATATATATATATATATATATATATATATATATATATATTATTCAAATAATTACATAATGAATAACATACTGTATTAATACTATTATATTACACTTACATCATAATTATATAATACAACTATAAATCTATAGTTATAAAATTGTGTTTGTATTTACATTTATGTGCGTAACTACATATTTTATAACTGTAGATTAAGCTACATTATATAATTATAAACAATTAGCTAACATATATAACTATAACACACACACACACACACACACACACACACACACACACATATATATATATATATATATATATATACATACATACATAAGCTAGTTTTACATATAACAAGTATAATGTACTGTATAACTATGTAAAATTACAAGCTATATTATATAATTATAATTATATACAATTAGCTAACATATATAAATATAACACACACACATATAGATAGATAGATAGATAGATAGATAGATAGATAGATAGATGATAGATAGATAGATAGATAGATAGATAGATAGATAGATAGATAGATAGATAGATAGATAGATAGATAGACACATAGACAGACAGACAGATAGATAGATAAGCTAGTTTTACATATAACAAGTATAATGTACTGTATAACTATGTAAAATTACATAATAAAAACAATACGTTTGCACTATTTTGTGTTATAAAATACTACGTACAAATAGTAACATTAAAAATAGCCTTAAAGTACTCAGTAATTTAATTTTCCACATAGACAGATTGTTTGAGAATATATTCATATATACAGTATACACACAAAATATAAACAGAAAATGCTTTAAATGCTAAATGTGGAGTTTTAGTTTTATTGATTGGAGTTGGTTTAGATGGACTAACATGACTTTAAATGAACTACAACACAGCTGTATCAAACAAAACAATGTTATCATATATCTACTGCATAATACTGATGAATCTCACATACTTAAGGGCTTCATCTTATTATTTTCTTATCTTTTATATAAACGTCTATACAAATTTTGAGAAGAAAAATGTTAAGATGAATAATTTAAATCACCAATTTATAAAAGTTAAAAATTAGAATATATCCTAAAATCTGAGATGATTATTGATCAAGTAAACACAAATGCTCACACAAACAAATACTCAATCAGTCCATGGCAGTTAAAAACATACAAAACAAAACAAAAACAATCACATATATAACACAAAGAAAATGTCAAAATCGATTGAAATTCAAGGCCACAAACTAAAAAAAGAAAATGTCACAAGTAATGCTACATGATCCGTTCCATGATCACTGCTTTTTGTTTGGCTTCAAAATCTTGTTTGTGTTGGCGATGTGTCCAAATGGTCCTACAAACACAAAACACAGCATTAGTTGTCATAGATAAGACAGTTAAACAGCGCCCTCTGTTGGCCAACCCGTTTCATGCACACACCGCTGAGTTAGTGGGTTAAAATGAAGGTTAATGTTAATACAACCAAACTACAATAACCACACACTCAACAAACACACACATGTTGGTATTGGTAGTTTACAGGGGCTCTCCATAGGGTCAAAGTTTTTTTTTTATACAGTAAAAACAGCTTATTATATGGCCTTACCTTAAATATGTTCCTTTAATTAACTTTAGGCCCTCTTTAAGTATGATTTTGAAGTGTTTTGAATTTCCAGTACACAATTTTCTGTTAAATAGACATCTAAAGGCAGACAGCTTGGCTAAGGCAAGACTAAACTTGTTCTGTCAGTAAAAATCTAATAGACGTCTGTCTAATGGACATCTTAATGTTGACAGCTTGGCTAAAACAAGGCCACACTTAGGCTGTCAGTGCAAATCTAACTTGCGCCTAATAGACATCTAAATGTAGACAGCTTGGTTAAAACAACACTAAACTTGGTCCGACAGTGAAAATCTAATAGACATCTAATAGAAATCTAAATGTGGACAGCTTGGCTAAAACAAGACTATACTTGGTCTGTCAGTGAAAATCTAATAGACGTCTAATAGATATCTAAATGTAGACAGCTTGGCTAAAGCAAAACTAATGTTGAGTTGTCAGTGAAAATCTAATAGACTTCTGTCTAATGGACATCTAAATGTGGACAGCTTGGCTAAAACAAGGCCAAACTTAGGCTGTCAGTGCATATCTAACTTGCGTCTAATAGACATCTAAATGTGGACAGCTTGGCTAAAACAACACTAAACTTGGTCTGACAGTGAAAATCTAATAAACATCTAATAGAAATCTAAATGTGGACAGCTTGGCTAAAACAAGACTAAACTTGGTCTGACAGTGAAAATTTAATAAACATCTAATAGAAATCTAAATGTGGACAGCTTGGCTAAAACAAGACTAAACTTGGGCTGACAGTGAAAATCAAATAAACGTCTAATAGACATCTAAATGCAGACAGCTTGGCTAAAGCAAAACTAATGTTGAGCTGTCAGTGAAAATCTAATAGACTTCTGTCTAATGGACATCTAAATGTGGACAGCTTGGCTAAAACAAGGCCAAACTTAGGCTGTCAGTGCATATCTAACTTGCGTCTAATAGACATCTAAATGTGGACAGCTTGGCTAAAACAAGGCCAAACTTAAGCTGTCAGTGCATATCTAACTTGCGTCTAATAGACATCTAAATGTGGACAGCTTGGCTAAAACAACACTAAACTTGGTCTGACAGTGAAAATCTAATAAACATCTAATAGAAATCTAAATGTGGACAGCTTGGCTAAAACAAGACTAAACTTGGTCTGTCAGTGGAAATCTAATAGACGTCTATTATATATCTAAACGTAGACAGCTTGGCTAAAACAAGGCTAAACTTGGGGTGTCAGTGAAAATCTAATAGACGTCTAATAGACATCTAAATGCAGACAGCTTGGCTAAAACGAGACTAAACATGGGTTGTCAGTGAAAATCTAACTGTGTTTAGACATCTATTGGACATCTATTAGACATCTATGAAAACAAAAAAATGCTTGCCGGGTAATGAGGACACAAGGCATGTCCTCACAAACCATTGTAATAGAGTACAACTAGGTCATACTCATGTCAGTATACAAAAAAGTCCTTGAAAACAACCAAAACCTTTATGTGGGTGCACACACACACACACACACACACACAGACACGAACACAAAGCTCAAAGGTGAAGCGTTCAGACAGAGCAGATGGAGATCATGAACATTAGACTCTGATGGGAGAGAAAGCGCATCTGAATCAGTGCATAAGCGATTGTGACGTGACGGTGAATCAGAAGGGCTGATCTGTGTGTCGCCAATACCTGAACCTCAGTGAGCAATAAAAGCAGGCAGTGATTGATTGATCACATGTGTGTGGAGGGAAGGAGAGTCGTCCCGCTGTGATCCTGAACGTATGACCTGCCCAGAGCAGCCTGTGGATACACACACATACAACATACGCACAAACATACATACGCACACATATGCACACACACATGCACACAGAAAACAAACACATGCAGACATACAAACATGAAACACACACACACACGCGTGCACGCACACGCAAGCACGCACACACACACGCATGCAAACACACAAAGGGATATGTGCACACATGCACAGACACACACCAACAGAGAGACATGCACACAGAAACACGTGCACACACACCAACAGGAAACACAGAAACACATGCGCACAGACAAAGACACACAAACATACACAGAGACACACATACATGCACATAGACGCACATACACAGGCCCACAAAGACACACACATACACACAGAAAACCAAAACATACACATGCACACACACATAAACAGAAAACAGAGAAACACGTGCACGCAAAGACACACGCACACATGGACAGACACAAGCACACAGAGACACACAAACCCACACACAGAGACAAACACACATACATGGACAAAGATGTACACAAAAACACACACAGACACATAAACGTGCACACACATGCACAGTGACACACACATACGTGCATACAAACACACAAACATGCACATACACAGACCCGCACACACAGACAAACACACACACACACACAAACACATGCACAGAGATGCACACGGAAACACACAAACAGAGACACACACACACACATAAGCACAAACACACACACACATACATGCACAAAGAGACACACAGACACGTGCACGCACAAACGCACACATACAGGTTTGTGAACATGAATGGATTTGGATAGATAAGCCAAAACTGAGAATGACATGAGCAGAAACGTGGAAACAAAGAAAAACAGAGTGGGAAAAGTGGCAATACGGAAAGATAACTTTTACTACTGTTCGATGTTTTTGGGTCAGTTGGATCAAAGAAAACTGTATTCAGAAAGAGTGCATTCAACTGGTCGAAAGAGACAGAAAAGAATTAAAGACATTGTGCAATAGATGTGTCTTGTCTCTTTCATTCAGCTTAGTCCCTTTATTAACCTGGAGTCGCCACAACGGAATGAACCGTCAACTTATCCAGCACATGTTTTTAGGCAGCGGATGCCCTTCCAGCTGCAACCCATCAGCGGGAAACACTCATACACACTCATACACACAACGGACATTTTAGCTTACCCAATTCACCTATAGTGCATGTCGTTGGACTTGTGGGGGAAACCGGAGCACCCGGAGGAAACCCACACGATCATGGGGAGAACATGCAAACTCCACTCAGAAATGCCAACTGACCCAGCCTGTGTCTTGTCTATTTACATGTATTAATTTTTGTATTATGGTGAAAATAAAATTACCTTTACTATGATTTACAGACACTTAAGATTTTGATTCTTTAATTTAAGTTATTCATTTATTAAATTATTATTTAATTTGAATTTTTCCATTATTTTTGATCAAATAAATGCTCCTTCTACACTGCCTGACAAAAGTCTTGTTGTCGATCCCAGTTGTAAGAGCAACAAATAATAACTTCACTTCGAGTTGATCATTTGGAAAAGTGGCAGAAGGTCGATTTTTCTGATGAATCATCTGTTGAACTGGATCTCAATCATCACAAATACTGCAGAAGACCTACTGGAACCAGCATGGACCCAAGATTCTCATAGAAATTAGTCAAGTTTGGTAAAGGAAAAATCATGGTTTGGGGTTCCATTCAGTATGGGAGCATGCAAGAGATCTGCAGAGTGGACGGCAACATCAACAGCCTGAGGTGTCAAGACATTTGTGCTGCCCATTACATTACAAACCACAGGAGAGGGCAAATTCTCCAGCAGGATAGCGCTTCTCCTCATACTTCAGCCTCCACATCAAAATTCCTGAAAGCAAAGAAGGTCAAGGTGCTCCAAGATTGGCTAGCCCAGTCACCAGACATAAACATTATTGAGCATGTCTGGGGGAAGATGAAGGAGGAGGCATTGAAGATGAATCCAAAGAATCCTGATGAACTCGCAGCATGATCTTTATATTGTATACTGTAAAATATTTCTGTTGAGTGACAAGACTTTTGTCTAAGCAGAGTCAGTCCTTATTGTGCTAATTAAATCAATAAAAATCAAGGCATGATCATACTTTATTTTGGTAAAATAAGCGTAATCTAGAGGCCTTTCCCTTTCTTATAAGCCACTTCTGATGCCAAATGATCAACTAGAAGTCCAGTTATTATTTGTTGTTCCTAAAACTTGGATAGGCAATCAAGTTTGTCAGGTAGTGTATGAGCATTAGATTTTTGATTAACTACTAAGCACAAGATAGTGTGTGTGTACATGACAGGAAAGAGGGAAATTAGAACAGGATAATGAGACGATGGAAAAAAGGGTGTGGATAGGATGGGATGTATGGAATCAGAAACAAGATACAGCTTTAAATGTAAAGATGAGTGGGTCAGTGGGTGCAGAGCAGGATGAAATGTGTTTCTAAAGCTGGAATTTCATCCAATCACAGCACCGGAGTGTCAACATAAAGCTTCAAAGCACCGCAGGGCCAAAACCCCCTGAAGATAATGCAAGATCATGGACACGATAATCCTGCTGCTGAAACAACAGCTCACAAACTAGAACAACATGCTCATGTACAGTATACATTCAACACTGCGCTGAACCACATGACCAGAGTTCAGGCTCAAACCCCAAAGTACACTCATTTTTAGCCATTTACAGTATGTAGTGTCTGCAGTACATGTTAGAGGCAGTAAAAAAACTACAGCATCAAGCGAGCAGGGCTGCACAATATATTGTTTCAGCGTCAATATCATGAACGTAATTTGCACATCAGCAATAGTCACACCGCAGGATCTGCAAAGTTGGGATTATAGTTTTATGCAATTTAGAGCACATTAGATTGGTGGACTCACCGAGATTTAAACCGAAATGGAGTGAAAGTTTATCATTTGCATGTGTTTTGTTTTTTAATTTTTTTTAAATAATAAGTTTTTTTCATGTTTTCTTCTGGTCAAGACAAAATAATACAAACAAATATTACAAACTATTACTGGCAGACTACTAAATGTAAAGCCAGGATGTTTACAGTTTAAATGTATACAGTGACAAAAATACAATAATATAAAGAAAACCTGGGGAGTAATTTTTATTTGCATACATTTTTAAGGCCTCTGACTGTGTATGCATGCAGGCACAAGAAATTGTAGCAATTGTATCTTTGAGAAATATTTATTTTATCATGTTATTTTTACAATAAAGACCCCATTTTGTGTCGTTTTTTACATTTAAATTTTTCAGTGTCTGTGTCAGAATACTGCTAGACTAAATTAACCAGATCAAGTGACAATTAAGGGATGAAAAGAGCAACAAAGCAATAAAAACAACCCAGGCTCATTCTGAAAATGTACCCTCATATACATTTCTGGTGAGCGCCAAATATGTCCAGGAGCTACGTTTTTTTTTTGCAGCTTTGCTTTCGTGAATCCACCCGAGGCTGCCGTATACGCTTTTGAAGATCTCAAATTTCTCACGCGAGTGCCGTTCATGCCTGTTCTTCTTGCTTAAATCTACCAGAGGCAGCAGATGCCCTTCCAGCCACAACCTAGTACTGAGAAACACGTGTCCTTTTTATTTATAAATAATATTGTTTATTTATTTTTGTCCAGTTATCTCGTTGTGTACTTTGGCGGACTTGAGACACAGAGAGAAGTTGACGACGACGACGACGACGACGACTGGGTTCGATTTCGGGGAAGAGCGGTTCCAGAAATGAGGTAAGACAAAAACAAAATCCAAAAATAAAACGAACAAGTGAATAACAGTGTAAGAATGGGGTATAACATGGTATGAATCAGAGAAGGACTTTTCTTTTTCTGGATGGCTTTTGTAAACCGTCGGTTGGGTTTAGGGAAAAAAGCGGGCGGGCAGGTCAATCAGTAAAATTGGTTGGGTTTAGGGATGGACGAGGGTATGCCAGTCAATTGGCCGGTCACTGAGTCAATCATTTAGTCATTCAGTCAGTCGACAGCGGCCTCTGGTGGGTTTACGCGAGAACAGCGGGGGTGCTAACGGCACTCGCGAGAGACATTTGAGATGCAAAAAAGTGCACAAGGCGGCCTCTTGCGGATTTGCGAAAACAAAAACTGTAAAAAAACATACCTCCCAGGACATATTTCGTGGTCTCCAGAAATGTCCATGGGACTACGTTTTCAGAATGAGCCTGGGTGGATGCAATCTCAGACTTCTAATGCTTGGAATTTTTTCTAATGGCACGATTAGGCCAATGAAAAAGATTTTTTCTTAGCTCATCAATTACTTCTTAGCCACATATTTTGAAGAATGACAATTGACTCTCCAGAAAACAATAAAGTACTGTTTATTCCACTTATCTTTGCTCTATTGTATTTATCTATGCTTTTATTTTGTTTATTTTATTGCACGTATAATTTACTTCCATACAGAATCATCCCAATTAATCTAACTTCTTTCCAAATCTGGTGAAATCGTATTAATATTGCGGTATGTTGCAGAAAAAATAAATATCGCAATGTCAGATTTTTACAATATCGTGCAGCCCTACAAGTGAGTTTAATATTCTCAGGGTTTTTCCTGCATGGAAAATGATGAAAGTGGTCACCTACATCAAATATTGCACCACTTCCAACTTTTAACAATCATTATGAAGGCAGGAATCGCGATCGACAGATCTCAAGTGATGCTCAAGCACTGGTCATGTGTTAAATTACATTTTATAATAATTTTTAAAAATAAGATAATACTTACGATTACAGGAATAATGCCAAATGTGTTTGTTTATTGTTATAGTAGCAAAAATATCATGATCGCCTTATTTTAATCCAGGAAAACCCTTTTTATTTTGCACTTTTTTTTGTCACTGAAGTTATTTGAAATAATTAATTCAACCCATCTCTGCCTTTTAACAAAAATGAGAAAGGCAGTAATGGCTATTGAAAGATCCCAAACTCAAGCACTGGTCATGTATTTGATTAAATTTAATTAATAATACATTTTTTGAATTAGATAATATTTTACATAATAAGATTATGAGAAAAATGCTAAATGTTTTTGTCTCTAGTCGCAAAAATGTCTTGATCGCCTCATTTTGAGGCAGGAAAAAGCCTTTTTATTTGAAACATTCAAGTCAAAACTTGTTTATTTTCTATTCAAAACAAATAATTTTTGCCAATTTTATTTGATGCACAATCCAAAATGCTTTGTCTCATCATTGACCCGAACAATATCATTGACAAACAATATATAGTGCGTATATCAGGGCCTTTAATCTGCCATCACGCCTTTATCTGATAAGTATAAAGTCTTCATGACCTTCTGGTTGGATACTTTGATACTTACAGCAGTTTGTGCTTGCTGGTTTGCCAGCTGTCTGCGCAGATCTGACTTTATACAGCCTGAGATAAAGAAAAGAAACACAATGAGACACGTAAAAATATACTCTTGACAGAAACTAAGAGGACTAATGTGACCTGCGGGCTGTGCTTCATCTGATTAATCATTAAATAACAAATATTAAACAAATGAATCCCTCAAAGAGCATGCTCAGGTCAGATAACATCCCAAAAGACTAAATAATATTAAATAAATATATTTTATATTATATATCTAAAATATGTATAGTCTATTTTATGCATTGTAAAATAACTTTTATTACATCACAGTTTGGTTGAGTTTTTTTTAAATTATCAAATACAATTTCTGTATATTAAACAATTGTATTTTATTACATATTAAATTATATTATATACTATATATGCCCTATCATAAAATCAATGTTTTATGTTTAAATTAAATATTTACTTAGTTAAAAATGCATAATATAATATAATATAATATAATATAATATAATATAATATAATATAATATAATATAATATAATATAATATAATATAATATAATATAATACCACTGATGACATATTCACGATGACCCATCAATGGGTTTGGCCAGTTTTACGTGGAGGATCAATCTCATTGGACTTATGACATTTAAATTAACTATGATTGAAAGTTTAAAAGTACGCAATTCATCTTTGCACCTCCACACATCAATGTTATATGAAGGACTATATCCTTTCTCCACATGAACTCTTACAGACTGGAAAATGAGTTGAACATTAACCAAGAAGCCTTTACATAATAAATGAAATAACCCAAGTCAACATTATCTCTGTGATTAACAAATTGCATAAGTTTATAACATTTAAAATGTGTGGCAAGAGAGATCTCATTTGGCTAATTAAACCCTGAAGGATTTTAACTATAACTATCCCAATGTAGTTTGTTCCCTATTTACACAATCAAATGGTGTGTTTAATGGCTCATGCATTAACTAAAACCCCAAACACTGTCTTTCATAATGTAATTCATGCAGCATGAATTTTAATTCACAGCTTTCCAGGAATCATTATCATAGAGGAAAATGTTGAAAGCAACTATAGCTCACTTGACTAAAACGCAGAGGTTATAAAGTATACCGGATTACAGTGAAACAAAAAGATGAGGGTTGAGTGTTTGGCACCTGTTATAATGGTTCCTATCAGCAAAAAGGCACACAGGAACAGATTTCCAGCCAGTGTACCGAAGGAGTCCATGATTTTCCCCTGACAGATTGTAAATATGATCCCAAACACCTGCAGTAAGAAGCACAATTCAACAGGATTATAGGAAACTCCACATACAGATGTGGACAAAATTGTTGCTACCCTTGTTTTTTTCATTAGTTTACCTTTTTTAATGGTCCTGTAAAATTTAAATAAAACATTGTATATCTATTAGCGAGTGTGCTTCAAAACAGTGACAAAAATTCACGTTTAGAGAATATATAACTGCTATAAACATCCAAAGCTTGCAGTTTGTCTCTTTCGCCTAAATGAGTAGTTTTTTCCACATCATCTCATACGTCAAATCTTCTGACCAATCAAATGCTCTCGAGCATCTGACATGCTCCGCCCCCTTCTCATTTGCCTCTCATTTAATGTGATTGAGCTCAATCACTCTCACTGGCAGAGGAGGAATAAAACAAAATGCTATTGGTTGCTTTTTTGAAAGGGGAGGAGCTACTCTATATATTCTATGTTGAGATTACATCAAACATGGAATAGAAAATGCACATTTCAAAGCACTTCACAGGACCTTTAAGGCTTCTGTTGAACCACAACTTGAAAGCACTATCCAATTTTCATCAGTGTGTTTCAGTTTATTATTATTGTATTAATCATTACTTTTTTCAGTTTCAAGTTGTTTTAGTGTTGCTGTCAATTCATCTATAAAGCAGAAATACAGAAGACAAAAATATCATCCTTCAGTTCCAGTTTTGTTTTTGTTAGTACTGTTTTATTACTTAAATATCTTCTTCATAAAGGCTCTGGTATAAGAAGTTCTATTTCCATTCTTCATTTGAGGGTAAAAAGAATTTAGAAAAGGCTGAGTGACAATATACTGTTTTTCAAACCCTCAAAACCCCTTTTGGATTTTCTTTTCTTTCTTTTTTTTTCTTTTCTTTTTTTTCTGTTGAACCCAAAGGAAGATATTTTGAAGAATGCTGGAACAAAATCAGCCATTGACTTCCATAGTATTTTTTGTTCCTGTTGCTAATGTCATTAGCTATGTTTCCATCCACCTGTTTATATGCATATTTTATACAACTGCATAAAAATGACTAATGGAAATGTGAAGATGTGCCTACATTTGGAAAATATGCATAAAAAAAACAAGTGGGATTTTTTTTATCCGATAAGAAAAAAGCTACAATGGAAACACATTTACTGAATAAATTCCACCATGTGCTACAAAAAAGTCATGCGAGTTTGTTTTAAGAGGTGCACATAGTCAATTTATACATTGCTACTGCAATCTGCTTTTCTTATGGAACTGAAGCGCAAAAAAACAATGGGCAAACCAGCAGAGCGGGCGCATAGTAAAACATCTGGGCCTCATGTACCAATGCTGCGTTCGCATAAAAACTTTGCGTACGCCAGGTACGTGTATTTCTTGTGTGTGTTTGTTTTATTTCCATTGGCGACTCCTAGAGGCAATTATGTTAAATTGCACACTACAAAGTATCGCACCAACACGAGTGAAAAACATAGCTATTCATTTATAATTGATAAAATAGGTTAATTGTCACCATTTTTTTGACCAATTATGTGATTTAGAACATAGAAAAGCATTTGCAAATGTATACAACCCTTAGTCTATGGCAATAGCAGTGTTGGTCTTACTAGAGCACATTGTCAATGGTCGAATCCGAAGGCAACGCATTTTTTAGGAATCACAGTGATTTTCTGGCCCTTGATGATGACTGGCTTATTAGCCTGTTCAGATTTTCAAGAGCTATGCTCTTGAAGCTCTGTGCTGAGTTGGGTCCATATTTGGAGAGAGAGACAGCGAGGAGGCTCCAAGGTGGCAGGGTGCGCGATGGGTGGCTTCTTGGTGACTGATGTATTTAAAGATATTATTCTAATTTATCTGATTTATCATCTAAGTTATACATTTTTTTATTTTATTGAGAGTAATTATTTAACTGCGTATAAGAAGAGCGCAGTAATCCATTAAAGTTAACCCCCCTCAACAACCCACAAACTGACCAAGAGCACAGATACAATGATGCCCATTCTCGCACTCATACGAGAATACGCGTGGGATTCCGTGTACGCAGTTCATTGCATTTTATATTTATTGTATAAGAAAAAAGGTGCACAGTCGTTTCTCCTACTGCACCAAATCCATTTGTAGTTTTTGACATTTGGCACCAGTTGATCAGGAAATGACGATTTGCTCTTTTTGATTAATTGGATGTAATTGCTGCTTTATTTGCAAATGTTTTATGTGACATTCCAGTTTTGTACACAAGTTTAATTCATACTTTTAGATGGAAACATAGCTAATGGTGTTTTTTTTCAACTAATAAAGTGTGAGCAAATGGTGGGGAAACTTTCATTTTTAGCTGAATGATGCCTTTAAGAAGATATTTTATAAATTTAAAGACTAAAAATAAAAGACTTGAAAGAACAAAACTTGAACTGAATAGTCACATTATTGTCTTCTGTATATAAAGTCATGACATGTGGCCAGGAATGGTGACCCATACTTAAAATTTGTGCTCTGCAATTAACCCATCCAAGTGCACATACACTGTAGTGAACACTCACTCGCCATGGTATTGAGGCTTATTAAGTGAACTAGAATGATATTTTTGCTGTAGATCTATAGAACAATCAAGACAACTGTTTTGAGATGAATATTGAAACTAATTGTCTTTTACTTACTTGTCTCCTTTACATCAAAATCTGAATTTCTTGGTTTAATATAAAGCGCTGTTTAATTGGCTTGACTTGCATATAAAACTCTTGACAATATTTCACAAATTAGAAATAATGCAATCTACTTGCATGATTGTCTGGCTATTTCATTTATATTGTTTTTTAAACTGTGTCACTTTTATTAAACCTCACAGTCCCACACAAACCTGTGCTGAACAGTTCAGTAGCCCTGAAGACGTGCCTTCAGACTCTGGGTACGTCAATTCAACAGCAAACTCAAAGCCGAGAGGAAGATAACCCGTCATGAAGAACCTGCAGAATACAATATTAAAACATTTATGTCATGACAATAAAAAACTAAATAAACACTCAGGCATTCACATCTATTCTTTCCGTATTTTTATACAGAGTTTCTCTGGATTTGCTGGGTTGATTAGGTACAGTTTTCAGTACACCTTTTCAAATTAGTTTTATTCTACAACCTTATGTTTTCTTCCAAATTACTAATAAATACAGTATATATTCATTTAGAGAGATGACACTTTGTTGTGTCTGTAAATCTGGGTTATCCAACCAAATATTGATTTCAAAACTCTTCTGAGGTAAAAACAAAAGGTATTGTGCTGTCTAAAAACTAATATAAACATATCTGAAAACATGAAAAATTTTCCTTAATTTGGAGACACTTGAGCTCCAACTCCTCCTCCTATAAGCTGATGTAATGCGTACAACCACCCCACCCCTAACCCCAACCCCCGGTGACATCACTTGTAGAAGAAGTGAAAGGAAGGAGGAGCTGGAACTCAAGCTCCCCCTTGCTGGAGCTCAGCTCTGCCCAAGTGGCTCTGCAGTAAGCACCACTTGTTAATTGTAAAAAAAAATCTATATATGTGACTTTGTTTTTTTAAAAATCTGGAATAAATGTCATAATTACTTTAGAGAACTTGCACTATATAATTGCACAACTATCTACATAAAACCTATTATCATAATATATTATCATTCAAGATGATTCCATATTTACCTTATGAAATACTTATAAATGACTACATAGCAAATTAATAGTAATTAGGATTTAGTATTTTGTATTTCATAAAACGTGAGAAAAATTTCATGAAAAAAATGACTTGCATAATAATAATAATTATACCAGCATTCTATTTACTGAGCTTTTTGTTATAAATTAAAAGAAAAAACAAAGTGCAACCAACAAAAACTTCTACAATGGAAGAAAAATAAATGAACGAATGAATAATGAATGAATGAATGAATGAATGAATGAATGAATGAATGGATGAATGAATGAATGCATTCATTGTCATACCCGAGGGCTCCTGCTGTGATGAAAACCACCCAAAGGTGATGCAAATCCAGAGTAAAAGCATAAATCACCAAACCCATGAGGGACATCAGATACACCGCTAGAGTGGTTTGTCTGTGGAGATATTACATAATCCAAAGATAAGAAGATCTTTTATCATGATCAAACCCGCAGATCTGGGTATGATGAACGTTTCATCACAGGATTCATGCAGATCCAGAAATAGCATTTCAGCTGTAATTATAAAATCTGATTTAACATACACTATCGGAGTGTTTCTTTAACTATTAACACTTCTTTAAAAAATATTGTGTGGAAAATTTGTGGGTTTTGGTGGAAATGGCTGCACAGGAAAACTGCAAGTTTAGTAAGAAAATACAGACATTTTCACATAATGAAAGTGAAGGAATTTATGATTGCTAAATCTTTTAATTGTAAGGATTGGTTTTTAATCACAAGTTATTAATAATAAACATGCAATTAAATAATTATATAGTAATAACTTCTAATATAAATTAAATTACCAATATAAAAATTAGAACAACCTACAAATAAATAAATACATTTAATTAACAAAACATTTTCTTATAACTAAGTGTCACAAATCGCAAGTGATCTAATCCTTGCAGATTGCTGGTAAAAACACAGATTGCTAAAGAACGACATTGATTTATCAACGAGATTGATAACATGCCTCAGCTCTTGAGCAGTTCCCAGCTGTTTGAGTGTAACACACGCGCACACACACACACGCGCACACACACACACACACGCGCGCACACACACACACACACACACACACACACACACGCACACATTGTCACTCATTCAGCTAAAAAACGGAAAAATCCAAATGTCCAGGAGGGGAAGACATGCAGCGACAGGCCAAACACACTTAAACAAAAGGTCACAGAGCTTGTTGGGTCAAAGAGGCAAACACCTGGGCAAACACACTAAACCAAAGCACATGAGCAGACCCACAGGGGGGAAAGTCTGATAGCACAGAGGAAATGAAGACAAGCGTTAATGGAGCAATGTGGCTGACTGAAGGACAATATGTCGGGATTTAAGACTCTTACTTGTAGGTTTTCGATCGGTCTAGCCAGATCCCACAGATGAGGGAACCCACCATGCCAGCGACCACAATGGTGAGGCCGATCCTGCCAGCATTCACCTCCTCGCCCTGTTAAAACCAGAGAGACTTTTCAATGCTTTTAGATGTCCTGAAAAGTGCTTTGAACTGTGCTTTTTTTTATTCGATGTTTGATATAATCTCAAATGAAATATTAAGAGGGCAGGACAAAGTAGCTCCTCCCCTTTTAAAAAACAGCCAATAGTGTTTTGTTTTTATTACGGCTCTGCCAGTGAGAGTGGTTGAGCTCAAGCGCATTATATGAAAAGCAAATGATAAGGGGTGGGTCATGTCAGATACCAGAGAGCATTTGATTGGTCAGACTATTTGATGAGAAACTAAAGTAGGAGGTGATGTGAAAAAAATGTTGATTGATTTTGGCTGCAAGCTTTGGATGTTTATATCAGTTTTATATTTTCTAAACACAAATTTTATCACCGTTTTGGATTACGCTACCTATCAGATATGTTAAAGCTAACAAACTGAAACATTTAAATGTCAGCTATTTATTTAGTTACTTTTAAACTAAATACATTCTATGTGTTCAGGGCTGCACAATATACCATTTCAGCGTAGATTTGGCAACGTGCAAATCTGCAATGGTCAAATCGCAAGATCTGCAATGTCAAATTGGCATTATAAAAACCATATCATAATCATAATATTAAATTCTTGAAAGTTTTTAATATTTCGATAAAAAAAAAAACGTATGAACATTTATATGCATCTATATATGTGTTATATCATCTTTGCAATAAATTACAAAAAACTATTTTCCGCTTCTGCGAGGTGTTTCTAATGCAGCATGTATGGGGCTAAGAGTAAATTTGACATTATTCTCTCCTCTGGCTGCCGTCATCAGTCTCACAAATATTTTTTCCTTTTTAGAAAAGTCCTGATAACACCATCATGGAATGGAGTTTTTCTTTTATCATTTTAGCAAATAGGATTGTTACAAATTATTTGTCGTACTCTCCCATTAACTGCACTCTAAGTTTACCCAACTATGACGACTTCTGCTGCTTAGAAACCTGGAAATGTGAAAAGTGTCTATTGAGTGTGTATTGAGAAGTTTTCACTTGGAAGTGTTTCAAGCCAATTTAAACTAAATTGAAACTTTAACAAAGATTAATTGTATTTATTTATACAATGAAGTCTATACAGTGTTATTTTAAATATGATTGAATTTCTGTGCCTTAGATTACACACAAAAAAAAAAAAACATGAAATACGATTTAATTGATTTGTATCTTTATTGTAATATGCTTTGAATTCATTTAATATCTTTTATGCGGATCCTCTACAAAGTAAACTCAATCTAGTAAGTAAAGTTTATCATATAAAGCACATTTAAATTCAGTTTGGCACTGAACAAAAACCATAACACACATTCTAAAACAGTAAAATAACAATAAAAGTAATAATAAGAGTAATAGTATTACAGCAACAATGCAAAATAAAGATTAAAAGCCAGGGAAGGCAATAGAATAAAAATGTGTTTTAGGGCTTGACTTGAAAAATAAAGAGAGAAGAAGTACTGGTAATGTCTAGTGGCAGCTGGTTCCACAAACGTGTCTAATCTAAAATTAAGATTTTTTTTTCTCTAAAAAGTATTAGAAGTCATCTTTTAAAATTATATTCAAAATCGCAATATATAACCACAGACAAATAATATTGCAATGTCAGTTTTTTTAATACCGTGCAGCCCATACTTTTATCTAAAACTCTTTTATTACTCTTTTTACTCGTTTATTCACCTGACAAAGCCTGAGAGAAAAAGAGTTTTGAATTCATATATCATAATATCAGCTTCTATGGCTATCCAGATCAAATGTAAAGCATTTTATAAACATCACTTTTCGAAACCAATAAAACAATTATAACAATGAAAAGATGTAAACAGTAATAAATAAAGCATAAGATAAAAATCTAAAAAAGTTTGTTAAGGTTTACTATTGATAAAGATTCTGCGCATTTTTAAAGGGTTCAGATTTAAAAATATTTCCTTTAAAGTCTCTTAAGAAAGAAATCATTGTCTGATAACATTAAAATAGGCCATTCCAACAGTATTTGTTTAACACTTTTGCTTTTGTTGCAATATTGACATTCTGAGGGAACTTCTCCTTTTCAGTAAATGTCCATGAGTGAGTCTCGTGTGTCTAGATTTTCTTCCTCCTACTGGTTGGATTTCGACAAAGCCTGAAAATGCTAAAAGTCTTGTGTAATCAAAACAGTCAAACCAGCACATATTACTATACTGTAAAAAACCTCTGTGATTTTACTAGGGATGTAACGGTATCAGAATTTCACGGTACGGTAATACCTCGGTATGAATGTCACGGTACGGTATTTATTGAATCATTTACAGGAAAAAACAAAACTTATGAAAATACTCCAAAAAAGTGCCAAAAGTGTCAATGACATACAAATTAGCCATCTATCTGTAAGCTTTGAAACAGGAACTTCAATTTTAATAACAAAAAATTATTAAACCATGTAAAAAATAAAGTTTCAATTTAGTAGTGTTGAAAACTCATCACATTCAACATTTAATCACTCACTCACTTAGATAGAGATGGGCTTTAAGGAAAATTATCATATAAATATAATCTGGTAAAAGCTGGTATCTCTGGGTATTTACAATGTCCCCTGCAACAGAAAAAAACCCTCTCATTTGGGACTGAGGTTTCTGGGACAGAGAGATATGACTTGGCCCAGGTTGACAGCAGTGGGTAACGTTGTGCATTGTCTTTCCCCCACTTGAGAGGACAAACCATGAGTCAGAAATTACAAACTCCCCTAAATTCAGAGAAACCAGAGGAAAACCATGGGTTTACTGGAATACCAGTAGCTGCACCATGGTATTGTTGCAGGAATGGGAGACTACACTTTCAGGTGTTTATTTTTGCAGACGTATTAAGTCTTTTTCAAGAAGTAACGGAGTGTGATTAAAACTGTTATTAAGCAATTTGCTGTGTATATTTAGGCTAGTGTTTTATTGTTTGTAAATATTTATTTTTGGCCTTAGTGCCTTTATTAGATAGATTAGACAGTAATTAGACAGGAATCGAAATGGGAGAGAGAGGGGGGTGGGGTTGGGAAATGTCCTCGAGCCGAGATTCAAACTCGGGGAGCCCTGAAATGCTACCACACCATGTCAGTGTGCTAACCACTAGGCTATTGCGCTGACCAGGTTAGTGTATTTTATAGTTACATTTCAACATGCTTATGAGGTTGTAAACGCATGGCATTACCTAAGATTTTAATTATCTTTAGGTGTTTTGTTTAAAAACAAACACCATTATTCCTACTCACAGTCATAAATCACTGAAATCCCTTCAGTTATTGTGTAAATTCGGTGCAGGTCTAGAGCTCTCATAATTGGCCGGATAGCTGATGAGTGGGAGGGACTTACAGGATAGTGTTCAATGATCATCCGGTTGAGAAGTGTACTGACAGCATAAAAACAGCCAACGTTCAGCCCTGAGGAAACACAGAAGAGTTCAGAACTATTGAAAGTGTTTAAAATAAAACACTTGATCTGATGTACATCTGCTAAGCACTGAGTGCTGTGACATTTCTGAAGCAGCTGTAAATATATAAAGAGCTTTGAATTCCAGCAGCATCAATTCTGTCAATGTTCAGCCAGGTAATATGCAGCTACAGGCTTGCCATGCCAGTTTTACACAGGTGTCTGTGTGTGCAGAGATGGATCATAAAGTTAGGTAATATAGTTCATGCTGGCTGTAAAAAAAAGCAATCGAGCAGTTTTTCTGTTTAAAATAGACTTTAACTTTTTTTTTGGAGGTGATATATGGTAATTGTTTATTGACGTTGGCGCCTGGATCTAAAACTAAAATGCATGTCATATAAATAGTACCATGTATATATATAGTACCATGCAAAACTTGAAATGTTCTTTTTAGAGTCTATTTTTGTCTATGAACAGAAAAGAACAAGATTTATTTGAAACAGATATTCCATTGATCATTATGATATATATAATTATGTATATATTAGTGATGGTTTATTATCGTAGACTCTAATCACACGGTAAAAAAAAAAAAAAATGTCGTTAATCTATTCTCAAAGTTGGGTTGGGAGCTGGGTCTATTCTACGCAAGTTATGATTACTTTCACCTTGATATTTTAGCGTGGATGTATACCTGACCGATGAGCCGTCTGACAAAAAAGTGCCCATCTGAATCATATCAGCAGGATGACGTCACCTGAGTCTAACTGCAGTTTGGCAGTTTCACTTTAACTCATGAACATTTAATTCATCTGCCGTGACAAACTGGGGTATTAGACGCAAACAAGGAGTAAGGACGTGTGAGAGTGTTATGGAATTTAATAACACACGCCAACTGGAAAGAAAAAAAACTTCTGCGTTTCGCGATGTGAGTGTGTGTGTGTGCAGTCCTTTACTGACAGCCGCATGTGTGGATCTTGTCAAAAAAACATGACGAAAAGTCTTACATGACGGTGTTTACTGATCTCTGTGTTTACATCAATATTGCAACTAATATCCATACTACGCATGTCTTAATTCCATTTCTGTTTAGTTCACTCATGACTTAAGTCGGATTAAGGTAATCAAAAAATTGCTGTTTCGAGCTTCTAAAGGCTTACAGTTCAAAATTCATGTTGAACTGAATTAACAGTTAGTAAACAAAAGCACATCTTATTTGACATCATTTATTTTCATCACCAATTATCACAGTAGAACAGTTTCTCAAGCAGTTTGTGATGCATTTTGGAAACAGGAGATGAGCCCCTGGTCTAATGCGCCACCTGGCTTGAGAAACCCGTTCTCAAATATTTATTATTTGGGTAGCACACATATTCTAAATGCCTTCGGCAGAATTAAAATGAGCCATTTTTATCTAGATTAATTCCGAGATTTAAAAAATTTATGTATGTACTGCTATTATATATATATATATATATATATATATATATATATATATATATATATATATATATATATATATATATATATATATATATATAGTCACTTTTAATACAGTTAAAGCATGCTTTTATAAATTCAAATGTCCTAATTGCAAATGTCTAGTATAGGATGTGTATGAAAAACCTAAACATATACACATATATTTAAATATTTAACAGATCAAATGCACAGCAATTCATTTAATTATATTGCCCAGTTAATATTGCACCACATGACCATGACTGTAATAAACAGCTTATTTCAGTGGCAGGAAAATTGTGTTTAATAAGCTAGTTTTAGTAGCTTGTTCAAAACACAACATCCAAGTGTGTGCAAGATCAAAACACTGATGCTTACATTAGCAAAAACCACTATTGAAATGTGCTGAGGTACAATAGTCAGCATTAGGAGCTGCTGTGGCTCTTCATGTAAAAAAATATACAGTTGAAGTCAGAATAATTTGCCCTCCTGTAAATATTTTTTTCCCATATTATGTTTACAGAGCAAGGATTTTTTAAAAGTATTTCCTATAATATTTTTCCTTCTGGAGTCTTATTTGTTTTATTTCGGCGAGAATGAAAGCAGTTTTTAATATTTTTCAAACCATTTTAAGGTCAATAATATTAGCCCCTTTAAGCTATATATTTTTCCTTTGCTTACAAAACAAACCATCATTATACAATAACTTGCCTAATTAACCTAACCTGCCTACTTAACTTAATGTCACTTTAATACTTTAACACTAGTATCTTAAGAAATATCTAGAAAAATATTATTTACTGTCATCATGGCAAAGATAAAATAAATCAGTTATCAGAAATGAGTTATTAAAACTATTCTGATTAGAAATGTGTTGGAAATAATCTACTTTCCGTTTAACAAAAATTGGGGAAAAAATACACAGGGGGCTAATAATCTACCACACAGGGCCGTTTCTAGACTTTTTGGTTACCGTAGGCGAGATTACCCAACCCAACTGAAGCTTACATTAGCAAAAACCCACTGACTACTGAACTATTCATGCTCATGTTCTCAGTAACAAACTAAGACTGTGTGTTTAAACGGGAGCAAGCATAATGAAGCCCAGTTTGTGGTGCTGAATGGCTCTGTTGTGTTGAGGGAGAGACGTTCACCGTAAGTGATGACGAGGAGGATAAAGGCTTTGTTGCGTAGCAGTCTGAGGATGGAGGCCGTGTATGAGTAGCTCTCTGGAGAAATGCGTCGAGCAGCAGCCTGAGCGAGAGTGGGAGGAATCTCCGGACGCTCCTGAAACACTGAAATAAATTGACAAACACATGGAAGTCAAAAACCTTACATGGAAATCTTCATTTAAATACAGAAGATCAGCTTCATTTTGTAAATGGACACTTAACTATTATTAATTATTATCATTAAGCATTAATAACCTTTATTATTCCTAGATAAATTGTTGTATTCATATTCTACAAATAGTTAACTAATAATAATTATAAACTGGTGATATAAAAAAAGTAAGAAAAATTATATGACATTTTTACACGTTAACTGTAAAAATAAAAAATATATATGTTTAAAACTACTCATATTTATATTTTATATGTACATTTGGCAAACAGTGAAAATAACAAATATATTTAATCTTAAAGTTAGAATAAAGCCTAAAAAAATATCTATACATATATTTATATAAAAGCCATGGGATATTCTACAATAACAGCACTCATATAGCCTCTTCACCCTTGTGGATTACTACGCCCACATAGAGTGACAGCAGATCATAAAAACTCACAACAGTTTGACAAATATTGCAGCTGTTGGACAACAAAATGTATTTTTTAGGCTTTTTTTAAGTCAAGAATGTAGTTGTTTAGATTGCAACTATGCAGTTTATTTGTAAGCGTAGTGCCTATTTTAAATATTTATCACTTCAGAGATTCAGCATTTTGGCGGCCATCAGTCTATCATTGAGCAGAGCAAAGAGGGTTGACGTTCCGCCACAAGATAGCGACAGACACTGTATGATAAGTGCTTAGGGGAGGAAAAACTCAGCGTAAATTTCTAACTACAGCTGAACAGATCATTATAAAACAGGTAAGTGACATTCTAAGTCGCTCTCTCTCTTTTGTATGTTGTAGTGCTGTATTTATAATAGGCTTGGGCGATATTACGGTATTATGGTATACCGCGGGATCTAAAAATAGCAACGTGTCAGTTTCAATACCGTTATACCGTCATAAAATATTAAATATCCTTTATTTAATGCCTACAAAAACGTATGTGTGGTTGTCATCACGGGACAGTGCGGAGGAGAGAGGGAGAGGGAGGGGGAGAGAGGGAGAGGGGGAGAGGTGACGTGGCGAGTCGTGCTTCAAAGTGTCCTGCAGTTTGGCAGTATTTCCGGTTTCGACTGAACAGAAGGGAGACGTGGTTAATATGAACGAGAGGTCTGCATTAGAGCTGGAGATCATTGCCCGAACCCTGCGAGACCCGAAAAAATCCAAATCCCTGCATTAAAATCCATCCCTGCAAAGGTGAAACAAATGATGACGAAGTAGTAAAAAAAGGGAATTTTAACGGCGGTCAAGTCAGTCACTAGTTCAGAAGGAGGTCATTCCAGCCAGGTATTTCGGCGGTCGCTCATACACTGCGTATTACGGTAGAGCCCTAAACCGCAAGCTGACAGGTAAAAAGACGAGGCCACTCGCTACACTGAAACTGCTGTCATGGAAAATTAAATGGATGTTCCTGACTGGTAGAAGATGAACAAACAATCCAACCCAAAACTTGCAAAATCAGCCAGATCAGAACTCTGCATCTCGACCTGTAGCAGCAGGAAAGGGTGTTCAGCTGCTGGACTCCGTGAGCGCAAGACTGCGCTAAAGCCTGTGGATTTAATAATGTTCCTCCACAAAAACACGTAGCCTAATCTTGGTGAGTAAAGGGTTTTTAAATTATAAATAAATATTAATTAAACCATAAAATCATAATGTAGACAGAGTATACAGGCTAATGGTGGCATTATTCTTTTAATATTCAGCTTCACCGCCGCCTTAATGCCAGATTGTGAAGAGAACTGGAGAAACAAATCTTGCACAGCCTTTATCTTAATTTCGTCATTGCCAAAATACCCGTCATCATTTAGAGTTTATTTTAATTTTATTTGTTAAGCAAGATTTCTTTTCATTGGTGTATTAGCCAATTTAAAAGCTAAGTGCATGTACCCAGGCCTATATAGAGTGCTGAGATGTTACGATGTTACAGAGGACTTATTTTATTTCTTTGTTCCAACTTTCAAGTGGCATAATTTACGTTTGTTACGATTAAATTATGTTAAAACATTTAAATGAATCATTCTTGAAAAAATGCAATAGAGCTGTGTGCATGAGCACATTTGAATAATGTTGGGCTGTAAACGGGTTCGGGCTTTATAAAGCTGTCAATCAAAATGTACCTGTCGGACTCGGGACCTATCGGGTATAATGTTTATGGCCCGATTACAGCTCTCTGCATTCCCGCTGCAGTACCGCGGGAGCCGGCCAGATTTCTTACGGTGTGGGAGTAAATTTCTAAATAAATCGCGGGAGAGATGTGTGTGTGTGTGTTTGTGTGTGAGAGAGAGAGAGAGAGAGAGAGAGAGAGAGAGATGCTGTGCGTCTCTTTCTCTCTCTCTCTCTCTCTCTCTCTGACCGCGAGCCTAAGGTCGCATAGAAGGTATTCAGTTTCTGAATGGTTTAGGCTCAAGCCAACAGTTTGGTGACGCTGTCTGAGCCTTACGTCATAATTTTTTTATTACGCCGGTAATACCAGATACCGGGGTAAAATCCGGGGTAAAGATACCGGGGTAAAAATTTGGACACCGCCCAAGCCTAATTTATAATATAGTAATCTGGTAATGTTTGTTTTGCTTTGGCTTTTTTGGGGTTAATTATTGCGATCTCCCGATCACTAAGGCGCGCCTCCTGCCAGTGCCGATATACAGCCATATCGCACAGCTACTCGAGGAATATTGCTCACACACACACATATTTATACACATATATATATATATATATATATATATAAAATTTAACGATAAAAACAAATAAATAAAAAATTACAAGACTGATTAATAAAAAAAGACAAAAAGGTGCTACAAAAAATAGCAAAATCATGACAAAATGCATGATTGACTTACAAGTAAATTTACATCCCAGAATGCACAGGAGGAAAAGCATTAAAGATAATAAGATTTCAGCACATATATATTAGGTTTAATAATTTAAATAGCTGAAATTCAAGAAAAACATTTGAAAAAAATTCATTCATTCATTTTACTTCGGCTTAGTTCTTTTATTCATCAGAGGTCACCACAGCGCAATGAACCACCAACTTATCCATCATATTTTACACAATGGATGCCCTTCCAGCTGCAACCCAGTACTAGGAAACATCCATACACACCTATTTACACATATACACTACAGTCAATTTAGTTTATTCAATTCACCTATAGCGCATGTCACTGGACTGTGGGGGAAACTGGAGCAAAATAAATTCAAGTGAACCTTTTTTTGGTTTTTAAAACCATTTCCAGTTTGTCAGTGTGTTGAAGTCCCAGTATTTGGTGCATATGGGTGGAAGTATGCATGAATTCACCTTGTTATTACATCTGGAGATGTTTGTGTTTGAGTAAAAAATTAGCGGTTGTCCTCAAAACTGCAGGTTACTGAACTCTGTGTTATTTGCTTGATCAAACGTACACTAGATATTAAAAACTCCACAGCAGGATTGGAGCTTAAAAAACACCACAGTCTGCTGTTCTTGTCCTTTACTAAAAAAAAAAAAAAAGTGTACAACATACCAGCAAAACAAGTCATTTTTAAAGAAATTAAGAGAACCGTTCACTCAAAAATGCATTCATGAATCATAATTTAACTTATCATCCTATTTCTGGATGGAGTTATAACTTATAGGGAACACAAAAAGCAATATTTAGCCAAAATAAATTGTGTTACACCTCACAAAATTATATACAGATAGGTTAAAATATTACAAAAAAGCATCACAAAAGTACAATTTATTACAATTTAAAAGACAATGCATATAGCACAATTCATTAATTAAATTTCCTTCGGCTTACTCTCTAATTTATCAGGGCCAATTACTGCCAATTATTCCAGCATATGTTTTACGCAGCGTATGCCCTTCCAGCCGCAACCCAGTACTGGGAAACACCCATATACATACATTCACTCTCACACACACACACACACACACACACACACACACACACACACACACACACACACACACACACACTCATACACTACCGTCAATTTTGTTTACCCAATTCACCTATAGCGCATGTCTTTGGACTGTGGGGGAAACTTGAGCACTTGTAGGAAACCCACACCAACACGGGGAGAACATGCAAACTCATTCAGAAACTCAAACTCAATAGAAACTTCAACTGACTCAGCTGGGGCTCGAATCAGCGACCTTCTTGCTGTGAGGTGACAGTGCTTACCACTAAGCCATCATGCAGCTCCTTATAGCACAATTATTTGTTTATTTATTTATTTATTTTAAAAAGGTAGTTTTTTGTACAAATTTTCTTTAGAGAAATTAAAATGGCTCACGATTGTCATCATTTCTTCTATCATCTTTACATAGTTGTTCAACTTTAGACAGACATCTTTTATTGTAAGAAGTTGAGAACAGAACTGAATGCACGTGAGTGTTGCTCAAAATCTGGGTTTTGAGATCATATCAGACGTCGGTTGAAAGTGAAAGTAGAAAAAACATGTCATTTCCCCTTCTGTCATTTGTGCTAAAGGTCAGATAATCATCAGATGATCATCAGCACTTCCATGTCTACAAACTTGGTCTCATTTCTTGTTCATACTGGAAGAATAACTGATTAAGACACATTCAAAAAATTCTTGTAGCAGAACAATAACATGTACTAATATGACAAAGATCACCTGGGGTGAGTTTTAACTTCTGCTATAGTAGCATCACACACATGTCTGGCATGAACTCTACTATATACAGTGCCTCCAGAAAGTATTCATATCGGTTCACTTTTTCCACATTTTTTTTTGTTACAGCCTTATTAAAAATGGATTCAATTAATTTTTTTCCTCTAAATTCTACACACAACACCCTATAATGACAATGTGATAAAAGAGTTTTTGAAACTGTTGCAAATTTATTAAAATAAAAAAATCAGATGTACAGAAGTATTCAAAGCCTTTGCTCAATACTTTGTTGATGCACCTTTGTCAGCGATTACAGCCTCAAGTCTTTTTGAATATGATGCCACAAGCTTGGCACAACTGTTTTCAGGAATTTCTGCCCATTTCTCTTAGCAAGACCTCTCAAGCTCTTTCAGGTTGGATGGGAAGTGACGGTGTCCAGCCATTTTTAGATCTCTCCAGAGATGTTCAATAGGATTTAGATCTGGGCTCCGGCTGGGCCACTCACCAAGTTGCTGTGAAGCCACTCCATTGATATTTTGGCGGCGTGCTTTGGGTCATTGTCCTGCTGGAAGATAAACCATGGCCCCGGTCTGAGGTCAAGAGCACTCTGAAGCAGGTTTTCATTCAGGATGTGTCTGTGCATTGCTGCATTCATCTTTCCCTCTATCCTGACTAGTCTTCCAGATCCTGCTGCTGAAAAACATCCCCACAGCGTGATGCTGCCGCCACTATGCTTCACTGTAGGGATGGTATTAGCTTGGTGATGAGCGATGCCTGGTTTTCTCCAAATGTAACGCCTGGCATTCACTCCAAAGAGTTCAATTTTAGTCTCATCAGAGCAGAGAATTTAGTTTCTTATGGTCTGAGAGTCCTTCAGATGCCTTTTGGCAAATTCCAGGCGGGGAGTGGCTTCCATCTGAACACTCTACCATACAGGCCTGATTGGTGAATTGCTGCACAGATGGTTGTCCTTCTGTAAGGTTCTGCTCTCTTCACAGAAGAATGCTGGAACTCAGACAGAGTGACCATCCACTTATTAATCACCTCACTGACTAAGGCCCTTCTCCCCCCGATCTTTCAGCTTAGATGGCCGGCCAGCTCTAGGAAGAGTCCTGGTGGTTTCAAACATCTTCCACTTATGGATGATGGAGGCCACTGTGCTTATTGGAACTTTCAGAGCAGCAGAAATGTTTCTGTAACCTTCCCCAGCCTTGTGCCTCAAGACAATCCTGTCTCGGAGGTCTACAGACAGCTCCTTTGTCTTCATGCTTGGTTTGTGCTTTGACATGCACTGGTGACAGGTGTATGCCTTTTCAAATCATGTCCAATCAATTTAATTTACCACAGGTGAACTCCAACTAAGCTGCTGAAACATTTCCAGAATGATCAGTGGAAACAGAATGTAGCTGAGCTCAATTTAGAGCTTCACGGCAAAGGCTGTCAATACTTCTGTACATGTGATTTTTCAGTTTTTTTTATTTTAAATAAATTTGCAACAATTTCAAAAACTCTTTTTCACATTGTCATTATGTTGTATTGTGTGTAGAATTTTTAGGAAATATAAAACATAAAAAAATTTGGAAAAGGCGAAGAGCCATCAATACTTTCCGGATGCACTGTTTTAGTGTTATACTCAGAGCAAACAAGTATAATTGCTCACAATGGTGTTGGCTACTTGCAACGTATGTGCAATGGAGTTAGGGTTGTAACGGTATGAATTTTTTACGGTATGATAATCGTCTAAAACAATACCACGGTTTGACGGTTTCGCGGTATACAGTATTAAATAGTAATTCTCATAGCAAAGACCCTGAAAAGAATAAGAACACGTTTTCTGACTGAACAAAGGTTTTATTTCAACAAACTTTTGAAAGAACCATATTAATAGAACTATAGAAGTCTTTTATAAAAATAAACTGAAAAATCTCCCATTTTAATAAATTAAATTAGAAGGAATAAACAAGCAAGGTCTTTTAAGATTAGACAAAAATAAACTTAAACTGTCCTTCCTTATAAGCAGGATAAATGGGAGACCAAAAGTGCAATACCAAGTTTATGGCTGTAAACATGTATTTAAAGCGTTGTTTTTTTCAGTCTAGGTTGTGATGAAGAAATGTAAGCATGTTGAGATTTTCAGGACTTAATCTTGACCGCTGAGGTGAGAGAATGTGTCCACTTGTACAATGAACAAATAAAAAAATAATAAATAATGTGTCAAAGTCCAAATAAACATGGTGCAAATCCTCAGTAAAAAAATAGATATAAATATTTACTATACTATAAATAGTTACATAACGAAACTAGATTTAATATGGAACATCCTTAGGTTTTATGTGCCAGCATGGATATGGTTGTCTGTGGATATGGATTTGGATGTGGTTGTATGCAACGCAGACAAACAGCTGCACCTTCATTTGTGTCTTTTGAAAACAGCAAGCAGCAGTTCGTCTTTGCTGTGTCACTGTTTTGTCATGTTTCTGTGCTGCTGTGCATGCAAAAGTACTTAGTATGAGAATTATTTCATGCAAAACTTTTTTTTTTTGCGTTTTAATTAGCCGCGCATAAATGTATTCCTATCTCTCATTCCGTGTTGTTCAAAAAGCTCGTTTTTGGTCCACAAACAAAAGCGAAACCTATGCTTATTGGTTGTGATATAGCGAGTTTGAACCAATCTGAGCATGGAGGAGGGACAATGCATCAATGTATCATGTCTGATTTGTCCGGAGACACAGTGACGAGCGTTTCTTTGTCAAATCAGCGTTGTCAAATTTTGATGACGTAACCGCACTGATTCCGGAGCCTCTGAAAGTCTGCGAATGGTATGTGATACAGCACTGGAAAGCTGAGATTCTCTTCTTTATGCCAATCTTTGAATTGTATGAATCGGATCAGTGGATCAAAAGTTATTAAACATTTAAGAGCAATACTTATTTTTAGCCGCGGGCGGCTGTCTCGGTCTTTAAGGGTTAAAACCGTTGATATGCAATTGTTCATGGTGTGATAATCGTGCACGTTCAAATCGTGGTAAACCGTCATACCGGTATATTGTTACAACCCTAAATGGAGTATGGCAATCAGTTGATGCAGAACTTAAAATTGGACTTTAGACATAAGAATGTGGCTAGCAAAGTAAACATTGTAAATGTTGATTTTACACAGACTTTGTTTGATCAAACCACGTTCATGTTTATTTATAATAAACATTTCTTGTGTCTTATTTGTCACATTCATTCTACACTGACATGTTTTAAAAGAATTTGGGATTGTCTTCTCTATAAAGAGCAAACATGATAGTTTAGCTTAAATTAAAACATCTTATAAGACAAAATAAGTAAGTTGTATGTGTTGGAAGAGCCTTCATTTCTGAAACATGGATCCATATGTTTTGGAATAGATCATTAACATGACATCATAAACAATGCACTTACCAATGACAACCAGCACGAACAGGAATGTGGCCACACCTGCGGTGATGTAGAACATGACTCTGATATGAGCCGCCAGCTCATCCAGATCGTCCACATTGGGAACAAGTATGGGTGGAACGAGGAAGCCAATGGCGATGCCCAACTGAAAGCAAAACAAACATCTATAATGAGAAAGTACAGTACACTACCTGACAAAAGTTTTGTCGCCTATCCAAGTTTTAGAAACAGCAAATAATGACTTGACTTCTAGTTGATCATTTGGTATCAGAAGTGGCTTATATGAAAGGAAATGCCTCTAGATTACGCTAATTTCACCAAAATAAAATATGATCATGCCTTGATTTTTAATTCTTTCATCAGGACAGTAAGGTCTGACTTTGCTTAGGCAAAAGTCTTGTAACGAAACAGAAATAATGTCCAGTATAGAATATAAAGTCATGCTGCAGTGGAAAAATAATAATATTGTGTGACTCCCATGAGCTTGGAGGACTGCATCCATACATCTCTGCAATGACTCAAATCCCTTATTAATCAAGCCATCTGGAATGGCAAAGAAAGCGTTCTTGCAGGACTCCCAGAGTTCATCAGGATTCTTTGGATTCATCTTCAATGCCTCTTTCATCTTACCCCAGACATGCTCAATAATGTTCATATCTGGTGACTGGGCTGGCCAATTCTGAAGCACCTTGACCTTCTTTGCTTTCAGGAACCTTGATGTGGAGGCTGAAGCATGAGAAGGAGCGCTATCCTGCTGAAGAATTTCCCCTCTCCTGTGGTTTGTAATGTAATGGGCAGCACAAATGTCTTGATACCTCAGGCTGTTGATGTTGCCATCCACTCTGCAGATCTCTCACACACCCCATACTGAATGCAACCACAAACCATGATTATTCCTTCGCTAACTTCACAGATTTCTGTGAAATTCTTGGGTCCGTGCGGGTTCTAGTAGGTCTTCTGCAGTATTTGTGATGATTGCCACTTCTGACACTTTTCCAAATGATCAACTAGAAGTCAAGTTATTATTTGTTGCTCTTACAACTGAGATCGATGACAAGATTTTGTCAGGTTGTGTATATGGCATTCAGTCAAAGCTAAAATGAATCAGACACCATCAACATTTCTCACATTATAACAGTTTATTCATAATAATTTACAAAATGTTAACATTATCTAGATAATGTCAGAATTTCTGATTGAAACTATGCTGAATGAAACAAATTACAATAAACCTGGTTTGCATGAACCTGTTAACCAGGTTTATGCAAACCTGAACTTTAATATTTTCCCAGACTTGCTGCACCTGTTGGTTTTTAGCCGACTCAATGAATCATTTTCGGGTATAATATGTCACTGTTTACTTTTTATTGCTATCTTCACTTTTATAGTGTCCTACACCCACTAGTACAAATATAAACCATATATTTGAATAACTGAATTACCTTTTGTTTTTACTGTACACACTCAACACGCAAATAAAACACTCCTAACAACGCAGATTTTTTTTAAACACAGTTTAAGCACAGGTACCAGCGCTTTTAAAATTGCATTTGCTTTGTCTCAATCCACTACCTGCTTTGTCTGATATTATTTGGTTTGTGTGAATACAAATTTGGAAACAAGCATGGGTTGTGTTCCACTTAACAACGGGACAACTGCAAAGCATTTGGGTGGCTCCACATTAAAACATCCCTACTATTTAGTTATCAACAACACTGTTTTGGTTAAAAACAGGGGTTTATAAATGAACCCATAGAATAGATCTCGTTCTGTAAGAATCGATCTGTGAAATCTGTAAACAAACATTCTCAAAATTCACCAATAACTTCAAGATTTAAGACTCATTGAAAATATTTGCAAAGTATGACATTTTAAACAAACTGTAGAAATCAAATTGTAAATAAAAATACATTCAGTTCTTTTTTTATTAAAAATTAATCAGGGGTCACCACAGCGGAATGAACCGCCAACTTATCCAGCACATGTTATATGCAGCGAATGTCCTTCCAGCTGCAACTCAGCACTGATAATTACTTACAAACTCTTGCATTCACACTCATACACTACGGCCAATTTAGCTTGATCAATTCACCTACATCGCATGAACTGTGGGGGAAACCGGAGCACCCAGAGTTATTATTAATTCAAAATATTATTTAATAATAAATAGAAAAAAGCTGGGATATGAGTTGATATACCAATACAACGATAAGCGTATGTAGGGCTGGGCTGATAAACAATATTATATCAAATCGCAATAAAATTTATATCAATAACAATCATAAGCATTGGACTTTTTGGTCTATATTGAACTAAGAGCCGATCACACAGCAGAAATGTGCAACAATGGGGATCTAAAAATGTGTTGATACAAGAGATATACCAAATGTTGGCCACTGAAAATAGGTTATGCTCTCTTTAATGGACTTTATAATTTGTGGCTTCAGTTATTGTTGGGATACTCGTTTAAATCTGGAGGAATTAACAACAGATATTGAAATATATATTATTGTTCAATATTGACGAGACCACATTGTTGCCGTATCATTCAGCCCTAAGCGTATGTATAAATAGGTGGATTTTTCCTCTGTGTGTACAAATATGAAAGAATCTGTGCAATTATTAATTGCATCTTGCTATGGTTCAATCATATTTCAAAATGTATCATTTTTACGTTTATAATAATATCCTAGTCAGCAAAATACATAACTCTAAAGTGTTCTAAAGTTTTTTTTCGATATTTATTGAAAGACAACTTTGACTTAAACTCTCAATTTAACGCAAACATGAGCTCATCCAATGAGGATAGAGTGGGGGCGGGGCTATCTGTTTGCTGACTAATAGCATACAAGATGTGTCAGCCTTCATATCTGTGTGATAATAAGTGTCATATTGTTTCCCCAATTGCCATTAGTGTCGCATAAATTGTAGTATAATTGTTCAGTACAGTTAAAAATTCCGTGAAGTGCTTTGAAATGTGCATTTTTATTCAATGTTTGGCATAACCTCATCTGAAAATTAGAGAAGCCCATCCCCTTTAAAAAAAACAGCCAATAGTGTTTGGTTTCATCACAGCTCTGTCAGTACCTACATTTCCATCCACTACGCATTTTGGATACGCGCATAAAAATAAATTGTGTGATTGAAATCCCAAGATGCACATAAATGAAAATGCGCATTAAAAAAAACGATGTGATTAACTGAGTAGGATAAACTTTTTATTCGATAAGAAAAAATGCAATGAACTTTGATGGAAACACTTTTAACGAACAAATTCCAGTATGCGCATTAAAAAAGGTCATGTGGCTTTGTTACAATAGATTATTTGATGATAAAAATGTGTGTGAATAGACAAACCAGGGGGCTGACCACATTGTAAAACATCTGAAATGTTGTTTTGGTCTTTCTAAAACGTCATAACCATTTCAGTATTAAGCTGTGGTCACACTAGAGTTTGTGCGTGCGAAATTCTGTTGTAGGGCGCTGCCAAAAGGGGCGAAATTAAATAAGATGATTAGACATTTTAAAAAGCGGGCAATTGCTCCATATTTTAAAATTCCTCCCGGAGAGGTCATGTTTTGATCCTCGATTGGACTCACGCAGTCAAGTGATGCGATTTTGCATGTCAGCGTTCACCAAACTTTGCACAGCAGCGAACGGTTTCCGTTCTGACGCATTCGCGTGCGTATGTATGGAAGCCTATGGGGAGAAAAGTGCAGTGTGACCGCAGCTTTAGTGTTATTATTTTAATAATTACCTCCAGAATGGTCAAGAGCATCTGTACTTCACGTCTCACGCGTTTACACATCACCAAGAATTTACTGCATGTCGGCATCATCTTCTGAAGTGCAAGTAATTTATTAAATAAGGAAAAGATTCACGCAACTTCTCCTAACACAGCAAATTTCGTTTTCACTGTTGATATTTGCCTCCAGTTAGTCATGATGATGACAATGATTTCATTTTATTTTGACTCGTTGGATGGAAATCTGCACATATTTCATACGATTCCTGTTTAGCGCATAAAGTTGATGCACAATTTTGTATGGAAACAGCTCATAATGAGGGTGGTTGAGCTCAAGCGTAACAAATTAAAATCAAATGAGGAGTTTGGAAGGGGGCGGGGCATGTCTAGAGAGCATTTGATTGGTCAAAAGATTTGATGAGAAACTGAAGTATGAGGTGACGTCAAAAAATCGTTAGACGATTATGCAAATGACCAACTGCAAGCTTTGGATGTTTAATAATTTTTGTATCTTCTAAACGACAATTTTGTCACTTTTTTGGAGCACTCTTGCTAATAGATATCTTTGAAACTAACATAATTACACCTAAAATGTTTTATTTTACTTCCAGGGGAGCTTTAAATTGACAAAACTATTGCTATAATCTTATTTAATCTTACCTGATTTCCGAAGACTCCAATGGAGCACGCTGTGGACACCTCATCCGACCCGAACCACACCGATGCGATCCGCGAGGGCATCCCCAATATAAACACCTGAGCAACGGAGCACGTGAACTGACCGAGAAATGTCACCGGGAAAAGGTCCGGTCTGGCGCTGGCCACCTTGATCCACGTGCCCGCGCAATTCAGAGCCGCGGCCACGAGCGCGATGACCCTCAGACCCTTTTTATCCAGTAGCCACGAAACGGGGAAAATGAGCGGAATGTATGTCAACATGTAAATCATGGACATCCAGTCTATGGTGAAAGAGTCCACGCCGTAGAAGCGCATGAAGATGTTGTTGATGATTCCGTACTGAATCCATTGATAGGAGTTGCAGAGCGAATATGAGCTGAATAAACACACTATGACCCATCTCTTTTTATACAAACGCGTTTCTGGCGTTGTGTAGCGATGTTCAAAATTCACCTCAGCATCAGTTTTTGAGTAATATGTATTGTCATTCACCTCTCCGTCCACTGACTTCGACTCATCGCCCATTTTCACCCGGTTTATGTCGTTAAAACGAGTGTCCATTCATTCATAATGAATCCCAAATGTCATGTTGAGGAGCCTGTCAGTCAATCTAGAGGAACTCACTGCGGTACTAAACAACATGTCAAACTATGTTATAAATAAATACAAACTTTTAAATAAATATCATATAAAAAACGTTTGAGTTTAAACACCAGTTAATAAACTTGCCATTTTAATATGACAGATTTGCTGCTTAGTTTCAATAAAGCGTCCGGCTCCCGCAGCAGAGACTCCTCAAACACCCGTTAAAAGTTTCGCCACCGTGATGAAGCTCCAGTGGAGAAATAAACGACTAGAGGAGAAATCACACAAACTATCTGTACTCAGAAATGGGCGTACTTTAACTGTAAAACTGTTGTCAGTCATGTGACACTCTCGAGCTCGTGTGCAGCACATGTTGTGAAAAATTAAGCCACACAAACATTTTGCGCGCCCCCTGGTGGCTGAATCCTGAATCTCATTTGCACTATGCCTATTCTAGTGTTGCCAGATTGGGCGATTTTGCGGGTAAAAATTATATAGGCGGTCAGTGAAAATGTGGTTTTCAGCGGGATTTGTATTGTTTTTGGGCTGAAATTAGATAGTTACATCTGGCAACCAGTGTTGGGAGTAACGAAATACAACTACTCACGTTACTGTAATAGACCTTTTTCACAGCGGAATTGAACACCGGAAGCGCCCTTCGAAGCCGTGTATAGTTTTTTCCGGTTTTGCTAGCAGCCGCAGAAACATGGCAACTTCAGGGCATCGAATGACATCCTCACTGTCAACTTTGCCAAAATTTGGACAAGACGACGTTGTTCGCTTGGTGAAGGACCACAGTAAGGTGAAAGGCTCAAAGCTGGACAAGGGATACAAGTTGTTCTTCGAACAGTTTGTTTTTAACTACAAGGGTAAGTAAATTGATAACATTATGTCTCAAGTATTTTGGTAGTTATCCTGTTAAGTTCTAATGTTAGTTAATTTAGTTGAGAGATTTTTTTTCTGCAAACCCTGTCTAAAACTGACACAGCCTAAATAAAACAGCATTTAAAAGATTATACCGATTTGCATAATTTGTGCAGAAAAAAATGTCTTACAAAAAGCGTTTGTTATGTAGGTTACTGTAATGCGTAGTGAGCAGCATATGCTAATATCAAGTCAGTTGTAAGCAAGATTAACTTTTTAACATCCAGCAGGATTAGTTTTATGTTAGTAGTTGTCCATAAGCTGTGCTAACCCCCTCCTTCCTTTGAATGCAGTGTCAGATATAGTGAACGACGAGGTAGTTGTACAGGCAAGTTGCTATCGGTCAATGAGAAAGAACGAGGAGCCCCATAAATTACAGGTTGCTTAATGCTCGCAAGGTTTCAAGTCTGGAAACATACTTTGATTACTACGCTGAGAAAATAAAGCTATTCGTTGTTGTGTTCAGTGTTTGTATACCATTCTATTAAAGTGTTACATTTTTTTTACACTTTGGTGGTCCCTATTGCACATTTTGTTGACTAAAAGTTGAATTGCAACTACATGCCAGTTACTGCTCATTTGAGTATTAGTAGACTGTCTGCTTAATATCTGCTGATACTGCTCCTTTAACACATTTAACTGACTATAAGAAACTTAAGTACGTAAACTTACACTAACCCCAACCTAACAGTCTACTTATAATCTATGAAGAATTAGTTGGTATGTAGATGCAATGTAACTTAAATTCAACAAAATGTGTTGAGGTACCTTAAAAAAAATGTGATACCCATTTTCCCACTAACCTCTACATTTTTAAATTTTGCTGCAAAAGTTGCAAATATCTTCAAAACACTCAGTTTGTAGCGATTGGGGTGTGTTTCCAGATCTTTAGGTTCAAGTTAGTTTATGTTCTTGTTCAAGTTCATTTTGTTCCACTGCTGTTGCAGTTTTTCCAGTGTTGTTTCTTGGCCAAATTATCCTTATGTATTTATAGTAATTATTATTTTATTGTTGCTTATTTTATACTTTAAGGTTGTACTGCAAGCAGTAAGTAGGCCTGTTGCATTAAATGGATGTAGCTGTTCCTGTGCAGCTGGAAAGGCCTTGTGCAATCATGTGGTGGCACTGCTTTTCCAAACTGCACACTACAGTACCATGGGAGTGAAGACAGTACCAACCGCACTATCATGCACCAGTGCTCTTCAAACATGGCACAGGCCAAGGACAAAGGTAAGATGTCTAAACCAAGGAAGAATCTTTTCAAACACACACACACTCACACATACACACACACTCACACATGCACACACACACACGCACACACACACACACATATATATATATATATACTCATTTCACTACATGTGATTTAGAGAAGAATAAAAAATACATGAGTTTACTGTATAATGTCACTGTAATCAAGTTAAAACATTTCATCAACCAAATGTATTAGTTTCTGTTTTTCATGGAAATCATACTTTTTTATTTGTTTAGATTGTAGTCTTGGCATTAGCAGAAACTACTTATTTAATTTGTGTAAGAATGATTTTTTTGTTAAATATAAAAACTTACTTTAGTCTATAACAAAAATGTCATTCAGGGAATTAGACCTGAACCCATGGATGAAGTTGTGGTGCGGAAGCCAAAAGCAGCAGGACGAAGTTGTGTTAAGTCTACACTCTATCAGGCATACCCAGGTGAGATTGTACACAGACACACAAACACAATCTCCCTTAACTTGTTTATCACCTATTTGACTTTCTTTGTTCTGCTGGACACAGAAAAGTAATTTTGAAGAAAGTTGAAAACCTGTAACCATTGACTTCAATAGAATTTGTTTCTCTTACTATGGAAGTCAATGGTTACAGGTTTTGAGCTCTCTTCAAAATATATTTTTCTGTGTCCAGCAGAACAAAGAAAGTCAAATAGGTATTAAATAAGTAAAGGGAGATAAAATTATGTCAGAATTTACATTTTCAACAGAAGTAATAAACTAAAATGTCTGAAAACACACAAGGGCAGGTAAATAATTATAACATTTTCATTTTTGGGTAAACAATCCACACTCTCACACAGACCTGTCTGTCAGCAGTATTGTCACTTTCTTTAATTGTCTATTTTCAGGACCTTTTCCTGACCCAGCACTGCTCTCCGTTGGTGATAAATTGAGAGACCTTAGACCACAGCTTGGTATTTGCTCAATCGTGTGTGGCCTCTCAAGCATGGAATTAGTGGAATCAAAATTTGGTCAAGTCCCAAAGGGCTCGGTTCTCTCTTATCAATGCCCCACTGCAGTATCACATGAAATTTGCAAGCATCCTGAAGCCCCTTCATTCCCAAAACTGCCATTACATGGCTATAGATTAGACAGGCACATGAATTACGTTCCCAGTTTTGAGGAGTATTACCATATTGAGAGTTTGATGGTTACTAGTGAACTATCATGCATTATTGAGAAAAACACAAGAGAGCAATCAGAGAATCCACTTTGGAAAGAACTGCGACAGCCACGCTTAACTTCCAGCAGATTTGGTGAAGTGTACAGTGCAAGAGGGGATTCATCATCTGAGGCACTTGCAGTCAGGATGCTGAGAGGTGTACGGCAAACATCCGCTATGAAAAGAGGCATTGAACTTGAGCCAGAAGTCCTACAGCTGTACAGTGACTTTTGTGGTGTAAATGTGTCACCTTCTGGATTTGTCATTCACCCTGATGCACCATACCTGGGTACTAGTCCTGACGCTAAAGTTTATGATCCATCTGAAAAACCACCCTTTGGGTTGGCTGAGGTGAAATGCCCGAATGTTAACAGCATAGCAGAGGCTACACATATCAAATTTACTAATGGTCAGGCTAAATTGAAAAGAAACCACAAATATTTCTGGCAGGTTTTAGGCCAGTTGGCAATAACTGGTTTGCCTTGGTGTGATTTTATCACGTCTACTAAAAGTGATCTCACAGTAGAGAGAATTTGGAAGGACGAGTCCCTGATCAACGATTTAAAGAAAAAACTTGACCTTTTTTATTTCAACACTTACATGCAAACTTACCTGAAAAACCAGTAACATACACATGTAAAAATTGCCACACACACCACATGTATTGTTCTCTTTATGAGTTTGATTTATTCATTGAAAATGGGACATAGCTGTATATTAATGTTGTGTGTGTTTGTGTGTGTAGATTGTAGATACATGTTTGTGTGTGTGTGTGTGTGTGTGTGTGTGTGTGTGTGTGTGTGTGTGTATATACATTATTGGATATGTACATTTTTATGCAAATATTCAACAATCTATTCATCTACAGAACTTATTTATATTGTGAAGCACTATCCAATAAACATTTCTTAATGGAGTTCACCTTTGTTCACTTCATTTTTTACACACAGATGTGGTCTTTTGTATCCAGTGGATATTGGAAATTGGACATTAAACAGCAGGTTGTCCATAGCTGATTAACAGAACCTGAAAGTGTAAGAGGAACAGTTGTGTCCCAGATATGGTACTCTTTTATTCTCCTGATAGCTCTCTCTACCAGAATTCTTAGACGGGCAATACTTTGTGTTTTTTCTGTGTTCTCCTTGCTGAAGCATGCACCTCTTTTGAATGGAGGGATGATGAGGCTTGCACCAACATCTGACAGCATCTGATCAATGACAAAGCCTTTATCGGCCATGCATGCATCTCCAGGTTCAAGTAGTTGGAGAATTCCACACTGCTTGGTTATTTCTTGGTCAGATATTGACCCGGTGAAGAGCTTGGAAACAAAGGTGATTACACCACATGGGGCAATACCTATCAGAGCCTTGAAAGTGGTGTGATTTTTGTAGACTGAAAATGTTTCAGACTGTAATGTAAGCGATGATGGAGATTCGCATCTAATTTCTGTGCAGTCCACAATCACTCTCAGATTTGGACAGTATTCTGCAAATTTAGCTGGCATCAGTTGTGTGACCTGTTCCCTTGACATCCAGATAGGCAGTGACCCCAAGACAAGGTATAAATAGTTGGCCCATGTGATGATCACTCTGCTCACAGTGGCGGTACTGATGCCAAAAATGTCTGCTATAACCTTCTCTTTAAGGCCAGCAGCAACACGACAGCAGTACAGGAACAGCTCATCCACAAGCGCAAGTTTACGGGTTGAACCTCCTTTTTCAACATCCACAGCACCACTGTTTCTCTGTGCTTTACTCCAGTACACTAATTTGGAGGCTGATGGGGCAACTGATTCCCAAAATATCCAGAATACTTTCTCAGATGGGAATCGAGTGTAAAATCTAAAGTCCTCATCAGTTGCACAGTATCTGTTAATGTGTAATTTTGAGGCAGATAGATCACAGAGTTGGACTTCTAACTGTCTGACCTTGGCCTCTAGCTCTCTGATTCTTTGAGCAGCAGCATCCAAATGTCCTGAAAGGTACAAAACATATTAAATAAAAATATATACTAACACACACACACACATATTTCATATTTTATTATAACACATATGTATGTAAACTGTCTATAAATACAGTACATCCGTTTATAATGTAAATATAATAACTTATATTTTTAAATAAAAATGTTTTCTGCTGTACATACCAGGTGATGGTTGACATGCATAGTCGTGGTCTGCTTGAGGGAGTATCGGCACAGCTACGGCTGGAGCAGTGCGGTCAACACGAACATCAACACCAAGCCGAGTACTTGCCCGTTGAAAAGGTGACTCACGTGTAACTCGGTCTGTACTCCAGTCATTCCAGGAAAAAAGGCGAGGTGCAGCACCAGGATTTATCTTCCTCCTTCCACTTTTGGTAGTGTAAATATCGTCCGCTTTGAAGTGCATACTGCACACGAACGTACTCCCGCGTTTAATTTGAAACAAAGGACCTTCATCCCGTCTGATAAATTTTACCCATGACTTCCTCTGTTCTTCATCTTTCGGGAAATCGTGGAAACTGAGGTAAGGGTGACGTTGTTTTGAGTTTGAGCAGCCGGGAACGCTGCAATAACAGCGATGAGACGACTCAGCCATTCTTTCTTACTGCGTTGCATTGAACCGGATGTTGTGATACACTGCTTCGCTTACCGGAACCAGGAAGTGTGAAAAAGGCCTATTATGTACCTTTTTAGGGTAATTGTACTTTCATGAGTAGAATTTTAAGCCTGTAATTTTACTTGTAGTTAAGTACAAATTAAGCTGAGTGATCTACTTCGTTACTTTTAAAATCACAATTAGTTACTGTAAATAAAATAATATTTCAACCACGCACTGACCAGCATTTCGGTAGCCAATAAAAAAGCTCATCTTACCAGACCTATGAAAAGACTGGTACATTATTTGAACCGAAAAACAAGTTCAGGCTGCAGCAGATTTACTTGAGCTGACTGTCATCATCATACAGTCCCAAAGTTATCAATTGACATATGGACATTTAAGACAGAAGAAATGAGGAAGAAATAGCAGAGGATGAGTGCCCAGGGCCACACCCGGAGGAGCTGTTCACCTACAGGTACATAGGGAAGAACTGACTATTGTTTTTTCTACTTATTTGAAATGCGGTCTTTATAGCACTTTATATTAGGTTAATACCCGTTTCTCCAAAGCAGTGCAGTAAGAAGGTTTAATGTGAAGTACACATATACAGGGGCGGACTGGGACAAAAATTCAGCCCTGGCACTGTAGCCACACCAGCCCACATTACCACACCGACACAGCCCCCCACCCACAGACACGCACATTCACTATTTAGTCTACATATGGTGAAATAATATGACATTCTTGCCAGATTTTGATTATGTATGGGTAACCTCAGATTGGGTCGACCCATCTTAAAATCCAGGTGGCAGTTGCCGATTGGGCCAAATGCTTAACATTTATTATTATTATTTTTATTATTATTATTATTATTATCATCATAATATCACATCTAGCAAGAGATAAAAGCTGTCTGCACTTTAAAACAATACATATTTAAAAAAAAAAAAACTGACCAGCCCAGATTTAAAAATTGGTCCGGCCCTTCTGGCATTTGCCAGAATTGCCAAATGGCCAGTCCGCCCCTGCACATATAGTATGGGATGACCTGTGTAAGAACTGACCATTGTTTTTTTTTCTACTTATTAGAAATTGGGTTTTTATGACTTTATATTATGTTAATACCCCGTTTCTCCAAAACAGAGCAGTAAAAAGGTTTCATGTGAAGTACACATATATTATGGGATGTCCTGTATAAGAACTGACCAATGTTTCTTTCTACTTATTGGAAATGGGGTACATGTTTACATTTCATTCTTAGCCTTCAGTGTCCGCAGTTTAATTCACCATATTTAACTGTTCTTGCTGAAATCATTGCTGCAATCAAAACCGAGTGATGTGTATGATTCAGCATAGCGGGAACTTACCACTGAGGTAAAGTTGTTTTTATATTCGTACATTCGTTCATTATAACACTCATATTGTTTACTATGCTACTTTGAATATTCAGTCTGAAATCGCATTAAAGCATGACTTGAAAACAGCATTAGCACTAAATGACAGTGAACAGAATTGTATTTTGATAGTCATATGATTGCACTATTCAGAATTTGCTCATAATGCCTTTCCGAAATTATAATATTAAGGAGAAAGTCAGAATATAAAACCCAATTTACCTCAATGAATTTACCTGATATGAAATGAGAACGGCAGAGTAGAGCATATTTTATTAGGTTGTCACTCCATTCAGCTACTTTTTAGCCAAAGTCGTGTGCAGTTGGCTTTAAAAGCAGTGTGGTGTACGGTAAAAGTTAAGGCCAGAGTCATGGTGACAGGCCAGATTGACTGTCAGGTGGTCTCTATATGGCCAGTCCGCCACTAAGTGTATGTGTGTGAATGAGTGTGTTTGATTGTTGGCGACCCCTGATTAATAAAGGGACTAAGCCGAAAAGAAACCCTGCTGAAAAATCCAGCTTAAACCAGCCTAGGCTTGTTGGGTGGTTTTAGCTGATTGACCAGCCTGGTTTTAGAGGGGTTTTGGCCATTTCCAGGCTGGTTTCCAGCCATTTCCAGCCTGGTCTTAGCTGGTCAGGCTGGAAAATGACCAGCCAAATCCAGCTAAAACCAGCTTGACCTGCCTGGTTTAAGCTGGATATAGCTGGTTTTGGCTGGACTCCCAGCTTGGCTAGGCTGGTCAAGCTGGTTTTAGCTGGTCATCTCCCAGCCTAACCAGCTAAGACCAGGCTGGAATAGCTGGAAACCAGCCTGGAAGTGGCCAAAACCCCTCTAAAACCAGTCTGGTCAACCAGCTAAAACCAGCCAACCAGCCTAGGCTGGTTTAAGCTGGATTTTTCAGCAGGGAAATGAATAAATTAGTTTAATATTTCAATATGATATACACCCCATCTTCTTTTTAAACTTACCTTTTTTCCCTTGTGTTCGTTCTGTATCACTGACTAACATTTGAACGACTGTTACATATGGCATCATGTTATACGAGTGTCAGTTCTGTGGGATTGGAGTCTCTGGTCCGTCGAGCGCCGCCTGGAGGAGAACAGCGTTAAACACATTTCTATGAAGCTGTAGTTTCTCCAACGTCTCCGTCAAGGGTCTGTGGAGGTTAAGGCAGAGATGGCGCCCTCTGGAGGTTGGAGTTTTTTTTTTAGTAAGGGCTATCTATATAAATTTATATATTAAAATCTTTTTTGACAGTTTCAATCACGATTTAATTGAATAGAATTAAAATAATTATTGGAGAATTACATAACTCACATTTGGGATAGATAAAATGTAATGCCTATTTGGATGGAATTGCACATAAATGTCTTAAATGGAGGGAGACGCAGTGGCGCAGTAGGTAGTGCCTCACAGCAAGAAGTTTCTGTGTGGAGTTTGCATGTTCTCCCTTATTCGTGTGGGTTTCCTCCGGGTGCTCCGGTTTCCCCCACAGTCCAAAGACATGCGGTACTGGTGAATTGGGTAGGCTAAATTGTCCGTAGTGTATGAGTGTGTGTGGATGTTTCCCAGAGATGGGTTGCGGCTGGAAGGGCATTGTGGCTGGAAGCACCCTGCGTAAAAACGTGCTGTGGCGATCCCAGATTAATAAAGGGACTAAGCCGACAAGAAAATGAATGAATGTCTAAAATGGAGTGGCATGATTTTTTTATTAACAATGAACAATAATTCATTCATTCATTCATTTTCCTTCAGCTCAGTTCCTCTATTCATCAGGGGTCGCCACAGCGGAATAAACCACTAACTTATCCAGCATATATTTTACGCAGCGAATGCTCTTCCAGCTGCAACCCAGTACTGGGAAACACCCATATACACTCATTCACACACATACACTACGCCATTTTAGTTTATTCAATTCACCTGTAGCGCATGTCTTTGGACTGTGGGGGAAACCGGAACACCCGGAAGAAACCTATGCCAACACGAGGAGAACATGCAAACTCCACATGCTCTTAGTTTGATCAGATGTGTTTAATTAGGGTTGGAACTAAACTGTGCAGAGCTGTGGCCCTCCAGGAACTGAGTTTGACACATGTGTTTTACAGCATTGATGTTGTAATTGAAATATAATCAGTAAAATAGACTTAAACATTCATTTAGCTGTTCAAGCGTAAAACACAGTAAAAGACCTTTTAAACCCAAGTGCTGACAGGAGTAGCAGGCTAGCGCAGAAACACTGGGATAAAATACATTTCCATATTTTAAAGACACCGCAGGGAACAATGGAATTTAATTCAGTGCTTCTTGTCAGGTCTGAGACTCACTTTATATCTTATAAATATAAGGCAGTGAAGATCACTCATTAAAAAATAATCAGATCTAAAATGCTGCAGTTTTTAATGGCACTTTAGTCCACTATAAGCGCTTGACCTGGCTGACTGGAAATGAAAAGTCTGATATACCCTGTTAAAGGACTGGTGAAAGACTTTTTTGTTGTGAATGCTTGAACTGACAATGCATTAAGAACAGAAGATAAAGCAATAATAAAATAAATAAATTATATAATATTAAAATTATATTACAATGACATTCAAATATATATATATATATATATATATATATATATATATATATATATATATATATATATATATATATATATATACATTCAAATATATATAAGGAAAGCATCTCTTTGAAAAAAAAGATATCTCTGTATAAAATTTTAGGAATAGTTTTTATTTATTTATTTATCCGGGTGCTTTGGTTTCCCCCACAGTCCGAAGACATGCGCTATAGGTGAATTAAATAAACTAAACTGGCCATAGTGTATGAGTGTGAATGAGAGTGTATGGGTGTTTCTTAGTGCTGGGTTGCAGCTGGAAGGGCATCCGCTGTGTAAAACATAAGTTGGCAGTTCATTCCGCTGTGGCACCCCCTGATAAACAAAGGGGCTAAGCCGAATGAAAGTAAATGATAATAAAAAGAATCCTTTAGACTGAAGGAATTTACATCATTGGCAGAATGAACCATTATGGGAACCTTTGTCTGACCCAAATGTCTTGGCTGTTGACTGGTGTTGTATGCACTTAAAAAAAAAACACATTACTGCCTTAAATTGCTCAGCTGAGTTAAACAAAGTTGTACAATCTCAACTTACATTAGTCAAACTGACTAAACATATTATGTAAAACCATATATAACAAAAACAATGTAATGTAATGTAATGTATGTGTATATATACTAAGTAAATAATAAGTAAAACATTGCACCTTCATTACAGCATATATTAATACATGCAAGAGTCTATTTAGTTTGAAGGAACCTTTATATCTATGTAAAATTTATTTAGACAATGCAGCACTAATAATGTGAGAGCATGTGTTTGGCCATGGACAGAAAAGAAGTAAAGACAACTATACATAAAGTATACAGATATTTGTTAAACTAATTTCCATGACCTTTCCAAAACTTTATGGGTTTTTCAGATTCTCCAAAACTTTTCCAGGCCTGGAAAATGCCATGTCAAAATTTCATGACTTTTCCAGGTTTTTCATGACCGTATGAACCCTGTGATATCAAGTCATGTGTGGTGTCTACTTAATTTATTGTTTATTTAAGAAGACATACTGTTTTAAACCATAGGATGCTATACACATTTACAACACATTTATTTATACAAATATAATTTATTAACTTGATTTATAATGTAAACAATGGATCAGCTGCAATGGTTGTCTTTCAAAACTCACTTCATATTTGACCTGTTTTGCTTTTTACCATTTAGTTTGTTATATAAACTATGATTGCATTCATGTGACATGAAGGAATTGAAAATATAAACCGTACACTGGGATAAAATGAAAACAATATATATGTTTTCATGCTAATGTTTAGTACTATATTGCAAAACATAATAATGCATGTATTATGAAAACAGGAAAACTGAAGGGAGTCTTTTATTTTTAATTCTGTGACCTACATCACATTCATCAGCGAGGAGTCTTTATGAAAGACTTTAAATGTGAAAATTAATTTGATGCTTTTTTGAAACCAGGAATAGAATAAAGCGTAAATGATGGGATTAATGGTGGAGTTCAGAAAGAAAAATATCACAGCAACATCTCTGATTTGAAGTGTGTTTTCACTATTGTATGGTATCGCTAAAGCTGTAATATAATACGGCAGCAAACAGAGGAGAAACACAAAGACCAGAATCCCCAGCAGCATCGCAGCTTTTCTCTCTGATTTGTCGCTGATTTTGTTCTTAGAGGATTCTGTGCTGTTGTGAACCTGAAGGGCTCTTATAGCAGTCGCATGTTTCTTAGCAATGACAAAAACATGAGTGTATAATATTATAATGAGCGTACATGGCATTACAAACACAAGCAGAAGATCAATAATTGATGAAATCCCATCTGTGATGGCAAAACACACTGCTGGACGCACAACATCAGTGAAGTTTCCATTAACATACAGAAGAGTGAAGTTATAAATGAGTGAAAACAACCAGTTTAGCAGAGTTGCTGTACAGACCACAGTCAGTGAGATTTTCTCAGAGTAAAAAAAGGGAAAACTCAAAGCCAAGAAGCGATCGACAGCTATTAAAGACACAGTGTGAACAGAAACACTTGTTGCCTGAAAGTTCACAACTTTAAAAACCAAGCACATGACTGATCCAGAAGTCCAGCATGATTCAATGACCAAAGACAAATGAAGTGGTATCACAAACACTCCAGTGAGAAAATCAGACGCAGCCAAAGAGAGGATGAGGATGTTGGCAGGTGTGTGGAGCTGCTTGAAGTGACTAACAGAGATGATGACCAGCAGGTTTCCACACACGGTCAGAAGAGCCACAGCTGCTGCGGCCACATACAGAATCACATAGACAGATAAAGAAACAGATCTCTCTGGACACGAGTAGTCCTCGCACATATCAGTTTGGTTCACTGCTGTAAGATTCATTGTGAAGCATTGGGTGAGTATGGTTTCCTGCGACTTTCCTCATATGAAGTTTAATAGATGCAAAACAACAGATAAAGATTACTTAAGACACTACTGTAATGTGTCTTCACCAGCTGTGAACGGCTCGTCACTGTAACACATTCACTGTTAAAGATGTGCCACAACTCACACTGCCTTTTATACACTCGACATGTTGACTCTTTCAGCAGCATCAGGGGAGAAGAACATTCAGCTGAGAGATCAACTTGTTTAGAAAGGTTTGAGATAATCGTATAGTCTAATAACAAGTGGAATCATTTACAATATATCAAATAAAGTTGTCAATACTGTAATTCTTCACATACTGTTTACATCTCCATGTTTTAGTATGCTTACCATTTGACATGCAGAAAGCATCTCCACTTCACCCTGTGAGGCCACAGGAAACCATTTGTAAATGTCAGGAAAGGCTGTTAATAATGTTGTAAGGCTATACAGGTGGATGAGTACAGGACTGCGTTCACAGAAACATACTTTCCATACTAATGTACACTATAGCGGCACTAACAGTGTGTCATTATATTCATTCCAAGCAATCTGTTAAAGCAGGCGGTTCATTCCGCTGTTGCGGCCCCTCATGAATAAACGGACTAAGCCAAAGGAAAATAAATTAATCAATCTGTTAAAGTTACACATTACATATTATACATGTATTCATAATATTGTCTTGATATAAAAATGAAAGTGTGACTGTTTCACTCAGAGTGTAATGCAGGCCTATAAAACAAGACTGGTTTTCAGTATGGCAGACGTTTCATTAAAAGGTTTTATGCTGAATGTCACATGAACAAACAGAAAACTAGTCTTTTATCACATCCTCCTGTTAAAGAAAGTCTGAATGGTGCTGTTATCTGTGGATTTGTTATGGTATGCAGCTCACTGAGCCAGTTCTTGGTCATATGTGTTCATTTTATTGGATTTTACACTCTTAAAGGTTCTGAATTGCCATTGATTGCTCCATTTAACACTCACTCACTATTCGGCTTAGTCCCTGATCAATCAGGGGTCGCCACAGCAGAATGAACCACCAATTACTCTGGCAAATGTTTTTATGTGGCGGATGCCCTTTCATTCGCAACCCAGAATTAGGAAACATCCATGGTGGGAATTAAAAGGGGGTTTGGGGAGGATTGACCCCCCTAATTAATGCTTGATCCCCCCTGAAGGACATCAAAACAAGATGTATAAGGGTGGTCATCCCTTTAATAGATATTAAATAGCTTTCTTCAATATTAGTTTTCTTAAATATTAATATTAAAAAAAATATATAATGAATATACAATTGACCCCTCCCCCAACAGTTCATACCACTGTAATGCATTCAATCACACCAATCAATGCTAGGAAAAACATCATTCAGCAGTCTGACAATGCCAGTTCTACAGCACGATAGACATCTCAAGCATTCACAAAACACGTTTCTTGTAAAATAGGTGTTTATATAGCCTACAAAAAAGCAAATTTAGACACATAATTTGTATAGTTTGGCCTACTGTAACCTCTAAATTGTCAATAAATGTCCCTCAAAACACTGAAAAAATACATTTTATTAATAAATTAGATGTAATTTAAATACATTCATGAATTTGATTCACTGGCGAATGTATACTACAAAAAATTTTAAATCGCACATTGGAAATATCCACACACTCTCATTCACACACACTCACAGCCAGTACACTACAGCCAGTTTTAGTTTAATTAATTCTATACTGCATGTCTTTTGGACGGTAGGGGAAACTTACGCAAACATGGGGAGAACAAGCAAATTTAGAATTACATTCTAAAAAAAGTTCTTTACAGCAATTCAATAGAGCTTCAGTCTAAGAACCTACATGTGCTTCTTTTCAGAACTCTTCACTGAGTGGTTCTTCTATGCATGTTAATAAAGGATTCTGTTTACATTTTAATTTGAGTTCTACAATGCACTTAGTTGTCCTATATTGGACCGTTCTCACAGTAGAGCTGAAATAAGGAAATTTCCTAGGGAAAAAAATGGGACGTCTGATCACCCTTACAGAGGACTAAACAGGGAAATTCAAAACTCTAATTAAGCTACAGCCTCTCCGAGCCATAGTTTAGCAGCATCACTGTTTTTGAACAGCAGAGAGCCGAAATAACACCACATTATCGGCATTCGAAAGCATAATGCAAAGAGGCGTTTCATGCATCATGGCACAAATTAATTCATCAGCCAATCAATAGCTCCCTCCTTACCCCGCCTTGGGGCTTCAGCCCCACCTAGCCCTTATGGTAATCTGGCCCTGGTTGTTAACTTTAGGGTTATAGTCCAAAAAAACAAAGTTCTCCAAATATAAAAGATATTCATTTAACAATTAACAATAATAGTACATAAATAAGGATGTGCTAATATGTAAACGAAACATTATTATGAATTAATGATGGTTAAGGCGCGTATTAATCATGAACTAACTTTAACTGCAAAATGAGTCACAAGAGCTCATGTGTGAATAACGACTATTAGGGCCGGAGTGGGACTCCTTTTCAGCCCTGGAGTTTCAAGCCTTAGACCGGGCCACCTCAGTACACAACTGACTATATTAAAATAAGGTCATTTCCAATTCAGTTTTCACGCCTTATCACGTCTTTTTCAGGAAAACAGCTGCTTTAGAACTTCAAATGTTCAACAACCTTACAGTTTTATATGTCTTAACAATAAAAATGAAAAAAAAAAAAAAAAAAAAGAGTTATTCGGGTAAGGATCGAACTAGAGGTCTGCATTCCCGCAGACCTATACATTTCCGAATAAATCACAGGAGCGGTGGGTAATGGGTTTAATTTGGGACGGTAGTGGGCTGTCTAGCAATATCGCTCCCGACTCCTGAGTGAGCATGCTTATGTATGTGTGTAAATGAAATAGCGCGATGCTGTGTTTAGCTTGTTTGTTGCTGTGTGTGTGTGTGTGGGTATGTATGCGCACGAGCAAATGAGAGATGTGTGTGTGCGCGCAAATGAGAGAGAGAGAGCTTTGCCTGTGTGTGTGCTTGGTGCTTATGAGTGTGTGTTACGCCCCATTCACACGGGGCTTCAGCGTCAACGCTTGACTGAAGGCGTGTCTGAAGTTGGAGCTGAAATCGTCATAGCAGCGTCAGCCAATAAAATTCAGTCAGCAATAGGCCACTGTCTGAGCTGGTGTATTTGCATACAGCGATCTGATTGGCTGACGCTTCCGTCGGCGCTTGAAAAGTTGAGCTAGTCCCAACTTCTGCAGCGAGGAACGCTTCTGAATTGTCGCCGACGGATCCACAATGCAGTTCGGCAACGCCTGACGTCACCCATTCAAAGTGAATGGGAAGCGTTGACGCTGACGCCCCGTGTGAATAGGGCGTTAGTGGGCGCGCGCGCGAATGAGAGAGAGAGAGCTTTGTCTGTGTGTGTGTGCTTGGTGCTGTGCGTGTGTGTTTATGCAGACAGCTTGTTATAGGCTGTCTGGACTGTATAACTGGGTAATTTTCGGTTTTGTTCTCCCCCTGCTCTTTAGCGGGATCGGGCGCGGTGGGTAGAAAACGTGGCGGGTCGGGCAGCGGGACAACAAGTGCTTAATATAAGCGGGAGCGGTCGGGTTCGGGCTTAAACCTGGCGGGTGTGGGCGGGAGCGGGATTCAAAATTTAGTCCCGCGCAGATCTCTAGATCGAACTCAGATTGACGGCATCATAAAACATCATACTGGCCACTGGACCACAATGGCACTGTTCCACTCATATGGCCAGAATAATAATTACATCATCACTACCTTGCAGGCTGCATTTTGCTCATGGGGCTGCGAGACAATAAATAAGAAGAGCGGAGCTGCGGCAAAATAATGAATAAAAAGAGTGAGGCTATTGTCAAATAAATGAAAAAAAGTGTGACTGCTGAGAGTGCAAGCAGCTAGAAACACCGGCCCTCGCGGCCAAAAATTCTCCCAGTCCTCCCGATTAGCCAATACGGGCCTGACGACTACCTTAGTTACGTGTTAGTACATGTTGTTAATGTGTTAATTCATATTTAAGTTTAAGCTAAGTGTAACCAACATGAACTCATGAGCTGTTAATGTATAGCTATGTCATGACTTTACTTGGAGGGGCACATCACCATTAACTCCTCCCTAACAACTCATCACTCCTGTGTTTAAACTGCTCATGTTGATGTCCAAAGAACACATTTTTTATTGGCATTCAGTGTAAACTGAATAAGACGGAAGTGCATAAGGAGTCCATGAGTAGTTCTTTTTGACTTAGTCCCTTTATTAATCTGGGGTCACCACAGTGGAATGAACTGCCAACTTACCCAGCATATATTTTACGCAGTGAATGCCCTTCCAGCTGCAACCTATCACTAGGAAACATACACTCCTTCACACACATACACTAAGGACAATTAAGCTTACCAAATTCACCTACAGCGCATGTCTTTGAATATAGAAATGCCAACTGACCCAGCCGACGCTCGAACCAGCGACCTTCTTGCTGTGAGGCGACAGCGCTACCCATGTGCCACCCTGCTGCCCATGAGTAGTTAAATATGGGTTAATGATGATGTGCCTCTCCAAGTAAAGTCATGACATAATTATACATTAACATATCATGAGTTCATGATGGGTAAAATTAGCATGATGTGGCAGTACCTTTTAAAAAGGTACATATTTATATCTAAAGGGTCCATAATGGCACCTCAAAGGTACCTTTTGGGAACATTTGGGCACTAATATGCACTTTTAAGGTACCACTGTGGACTCTTTGGGTACAAATATGTACTTTTTAAAAAAGTACTGCCCCAGTGTCAGCTCTTGTACCTTTATTACTGAGAGTGTAACGAGTAATTAAGGTAGCTGTTATTCACACATGAACTCATGTGACTCATAATAAAGTTAGTTCATGATTATCACATGCATTAAATCATCATTAGTCCATAATAAAATAATGTTTAGTTTACATATTACCACATCATCATTCATGTATTGTTATTGTAGTGTTACCGATATTCCTTGTGTTTTGTGAAGTTTTTTAAACTGTAACAACACTGTTAAAACAATTCCTGCTAACATTATGGTAGTTTACACAGAAAAAATAAAGGTATCACTTTCAAAAACTTGCACTTAGTAACCCACTTGCATAATACTGCATTATTAGTTCCCTCAAAATGCAGTTTTCTTTGAATAAATGGATGGAATTTATATCATCTTTCCTTTTTAAGCTGAGAACAGTACTATTTGAATACATTTACCACAGCATATCATCATCTAGGAGACTTCCTATTCATTAACATTTATAAAAATAAGAAATGTATTTGTATATATACTTATATATTCATGAGAAAATCTGTAAGAAGCTTTTTTTTTTTTTCAAAAAGCGCATTTGGCAAATTTGATCTTTCCCCCCATACTTTTTAGCAGTGGTGGTGGGGTCGGGCAGTGGCAACTTGTACCTTAAGGGGGCACATGTTAACATACATCACAAATTACTTAAACAATAATTCAAAGTAATTTTTTTACATGCATCACTCTGCAGACTTCATAAACAAGCTAATTAAATAACCTAAACTCAAAATAATCTTTATAATTTTAATTTATTTGACAAGTAACTTTGTATTGTAGTAGGATAACACATTTCTAACATTCATGTACATCAAGGCTTTTCGACTTAGTCCCTTTATTAATCTGGGGTCGCCACAGCTGAATGAACCGCCAACTTATCCAGCACATGTTTTTACACAGCGGATGCCCTTACTGCTGCAACCCATCACTGGAAAACACCCATACACTCTCATTCACACACATACACTACGGACAATTTTATCTATACCCAATTCACCTGTACCGCATGTCTTTGTACTTGAGGGGGAAACCGGAGCACCCAGAGGAAACCCACGCAAACACGGGGAGAACATACAAACTCCACACAGAAATGCCAAATGACCCAGCTGAGGCTCGAACCAGCGACCTTCTTGTCGTGAGGCAACAGCACTACCTACTGCGCCACCGTGTTGCCCAGTTGCCCTCCCATTAACTTAAAATAATGTTTTCCAAGTCATCATTAACAAACCAAGGAAATTTTCACAGTATTTCCTATGAAACCAAAATAATCATTCTGGGGTCATATTAAGTCTTATTTCTTATAGTTTATTTCTTGAATAAAAGCAGTTTTCAATACATATATATATATATATATATATATATATATATATATATATAAAAATTATTTAGGGTCAGTATTTTTAGCCTCCTCAAGAAATAATTCCTGTATATTTTTTGATTGTCTACACAACTAACCAGTTATACAATAACTTGACTAATAATTAGAGAGGGGGCTGCAGACTCAGTGCAGATGCAATCTGAGCTGCATGCAATGCTTTTGAATGGGCTCACATAACCCCACTCCTAACCCGTCACAGTGACGTCACTAGCTCCATTGAGTGCACTGTGTCTGACTTTGCATCTCTGAGAGATGCAATTTCAGCTTGCATCATAAAGGCTGCATCCAGATACTATTGAATAATTATTATAACTTTCCAAGTTAACATAACCTAGTTAAGTCTTTAAATTACACTTTAATCTGAATCAAATAATAGTCAAATATTATGCACTGACTGTGAAAGATGAAATATTATTAGAAATTAGTTCAACTATTATGTTTAAAAATGTGCTGTAAAAAACCATGTGTTTGAAATCAAAAACAAATGAAGGCAAAACTAAATAAATTGAATATTACTTTGACATGAGTGTGACTGAAAACTAAATTTGATCAACGTGTTACATCTGTTCTCCGGTACTTGCAGACTGTTTGTAAATTCAAGACTGCATTTCTTAACGTAAAACTATGTACACTCAATTTCTGAATAATAATAGCAGAGGACTTCCTATATTAACAGTGTTAAAATCGCTATTGAAAACAGAAGTCTAATATCATCAACAGTGGACATTTTGATTGTGTTTCACAACATGAACATGACTGAAGTTTAATCTTTTTATTACCTGTGTCAATTTGAGGGGTTAACTTCTGATGAATGTGGCGATACTGATGCCCCAACGCCAAACTTTACAAACTGTTAACCTGCTGTAAAGGGCCCTTGTCAGCAATCCAAAGCCTTGTGTAATGAGAATTAACATAATAATACAGAATGTAATAAATATCAGCCCTTATATCTGATTTCACAATGATATTAAAAACATTATTTTATTGAATAGGATTTGGATTGAATGCTGTCAATAATAACATCGTAGACTGCAAAAACAGTATTTACACTGATATAATTGTTTAGAAACATAGAAGTGTCACTTTTTACTGTTCTTATTCAGCAATCAGGGTTTTTAGTATGACACCTTCTTTGCTTTCAGTAAAGCAGAATAATGGTTATTTCTCTGCTGACATCATTGCACTGTGCATTACATTTTGAGTAATTATACATTAAAGTGCATTAGACTTTATTAATCTCTAATTACCGGTGAGTTTTCACTACAAAACAAAATGGCACAAATACTGCATTTTATTTCCAGTAATGACAGAACATTAATTTTCACATTCATTTTATGCTGATATGAAAAAAAGGCCTATGGTACTTTTTATATGAGACTCATTTATCCTATTAACATGTGTATATGATAAATATATGATCATCTGAATGAAAATATTATTGAACAATTTTATCTATTAAACAAAATAAGTGAGTTAAAAAGTGTAACACAAACGCAAATATCCTTTTTTCTTATATTCTGCAGCATAAAATAATGCAGAAAAAGCATAACCTGTAGGCAAATTCACCTTACAGCAATGAAAAGTTGGAAGAATTCTGTCTCACATTAAATGACCTACATCACATTCATCAGAGAGGAGTCTTTATGAAAAACTTTAAATGTAAAAATTAATTTTAAGCTTTTCTTAAACCAGGAATAGAATAAAGCGTAAATGATGGGATTAATGGTGGAGTTCAGGAAGAAAACTATTACAGAAACATTTATAACATACATATATATAACACTGCCATATGGTATCACTAAAGCTGTAATATAATACGGCAGCAAACAGAGGAGAAACACAAAGACCAGAATCCCCAGCAGCATCGCAGCTTTTCTCTCTGATTTGTCGCTGATTTTGTTCTTAGAGGATTCTGTGCTGTTGTGAACCTGAAGGGCTCTTATAGCAGTCGCATGTTTCTTAGCAATGACAAAAACATGAGTGTATAATATTATAATGAGCGTACATGGCATTACAAACACAATCAGGAGATCAATGATACATGAAAACCCATCAAAAATAGCAATACACACTCCTAAACACAGAACATCAGTGAAGTTTCCATTAACATACAGATAAGTGACGTTATAAATGAATGAAAACAACCAGTTTAGCAAAGCTGCTGTACAGACCACAGTCAGTGACCGTGTGTGGCACAGTCCCTGATGAAGGAAAATGAATGATAATAAAAAAGTATTCTTTAGACTGAAGGAATTTACATCATTGGCAGAATGAAAAATTAGGGGAACCTTTTGTCTGAACCAAACTTCTTGGCTGTTGACTGGAATTGTATGCACTTTAAAAAACATCTTACTGCCTTAAATTGCTCAGCGGAATCAAACTGAATTTTACAACTTCACATCAACTTAACATAACTTAACATAAACTTACATTAATCAAACTGACTAAAAATATGTATGAATATGTAACAATATGTAAAACCATATATAACAAAAAATTGAGCTTCAAATAAATTAGATAAAGAAACACAACATTTGTTGTCATAACTTTTTGTGAAATCAAGTCATGTGAGGTGTCTCAACACAATCTCATCGCAGTTCAAAACTTTTTGATTTAGTGGCTAATTCGTATGAATACGTACGATCTAATTCTTACAATTTTGTACGATTTGCTCATCATCCAATGACGGTTGGGTTTAGGGGTGGGGTTAAGTGCCACGCCTCCTGTTTAAAATCATACTATTTCGTAAGACTGAACTCGTATGAATTCGTACGAATTAGCCACTATACTGGCAAAACGTAAAATACTTTCGTTTTCTCGTGAGATCAGGCTGGGTGTCTACTTAATTTATTGCTTATTTAAGCAAAAACCATAGGCTACTATTAACACATTTAATTACACAAATAGGGCAACGCGGTAGCGCAGTGGGTATCACGTTCACCTCACAGCAAGAAGTCACTGGTTCGAGCCTCAGCTGGGTTAGTTGGCGTTTCTGTGTGGAGTTTGCATGTTCTCCCCTTGTTCGTATGTATTTCTTCTGGGTGCTCGGGTTTCCAACACAAGTCCAAAGACATAGGTGAATTGGGTATGCTAAAATTGACCATAGTGTATGAGTATGTGTGGTAATGAGTGTGTATGGGTGTTTCCCAGTGATGGTTTGCAGCTGGAAGGACATCTGCTGCGTAAAACATTTACTGGATACGATGGCGGTTCATTCCGCTATGGCGACTCCAGATTAATAAAGGGACTAAGCCAGAAATGAATGAATGAATGATAATTATACAAATATAATTTATTAACTTGATTTATAATGTAAACAATGGATCAGCTGCAATGGCTGTTGTTCAAAACTCATTTCATATTTGACCTGTTTTGCTCTTTACATTTATTTTGTTATAAACAATACATTGGCATGAAATTAAAACAATATTTATGCCTTCATGGTAATGTTTCTTGTAATGTACATAGCAAAACATAACAATGCATGCATTTTGAAAATGAGCATTTCTTTTAAATTGTGTGACTTACATCACATTCATCAGAGAGGAGTCTTTATGAAAGACTTTAAATGTGAAAATTAATTTGATGCTTTTTTGAAACCAGGAATAGAATAAAGCGTAAATGATGGGATTAATGGTAGAGTTCAGGAAGAAAAATATCCCAGCAACATCTCTGATTTGAAGTGTGTTTTCACTATTGTATGGTATCGCTAAAGCTGTAATATAATACGGCAGCAAACAGAGGAGAAACACAAAGACCAGAATCCCCAGCAGCATCGCAGCTTTTCTCTCTGATTTGTCGCTGATTTTGTTCTTAGAGGATTCTGTGCTGTTGTGAACCTGAAGGGCTCTTATAGCAGTCGCATGTTTCTTAGCAATGACAAAAACATGAGTGTATAATATTATAATGAGCGTACATGGCATTACAAACACAATCAGGAGATCAATGATTGATGAAATCTCATCTGTAATGGCAAAACACACTGCTGGACGCACAACATCAGTGAAGTTTCCATTAACATACAGAAGAGTGAAGTTATAAATGAGTGAAAACAACCAGTTTAGCAGAGTTGCTGTACAGACCACAGTCAGTGAGATTTTCTCAGAGTAAAAAAAGGGAAAACTCAAAGCCAAGAAGCGATCGACAGCTATTAAAGACACAGTGTGAACAGAAACACTTGTTGCTTGAAAATCGACAACTTTTAAAACCAAGCACATGACTGATCCAGAAGTCCAGCATGATTCAATGACCAAAGACAAATGAAGTGGTATCACAAACACTCCAGTGAGAAAATCAGACGCAGCCAAAGAGAGGATGAGGATGTTGGCAGGTGTGTGGAGCTGCTTGAAGTGACTAACAGAGATGATGACCAGCAGGTTTCCACACACGGTCAGAAGAGCCACAGCTGCTGCGGCCACATACAGAATCACATAGACAGATAAAGAAACAGATCTCTCTGGACACGAGTAGTCTTCGCACATATCAGTTTGGTTCACTGCTGTAAGATTCATTGTGAAGCATTGGGAGAGTATGGTTTCCTGTGACTTTCCTCATGAAGTTTAATATGTGCAAAACAACAGATAAAGATTCCTAAAGACACTACTGTAATGTGTCTTCACCAGCTGTGAACGGCTCCTCACTGAAACACATTCACTGTTAAAGATGTGCTACAGCTCACACTGCCTTTTATACACTCGACATGTTGACTCTTTCAGCAGCATCAGGGGAGAAGAACATTCAGCTGAGAGATCAACTTGTTTAGAAAGGTTTGAGATAATCTTAAAGTCTAATAACAAGTGGATTCATTTACAATATATCATATAAAGTTGTCAATACTGTAATTCTTCACATACTGTTTACATCTCCATGTTTTAGTATACTTACCATTTGACATGCAGAAAGCATCTCCACTTCATCCTGTGAGGCCACAGGAAACCATTTGTAAATGTCAGGAAAGGCTGTTAATAATGTTGTAAGGCTATACAGGTGGATGAGTACAGGACTGCGTTCACAGAAACATACTTTCCATACTAATGTACACTATAGCGGCACTAACAGTGTGTCATTATATTCATTCCAAGCAATCTGTTAAAGCAGGCGGTTCATTCCGCTGTGGCGACCCCTCATGAATAAACGGACTAAGCTAAAGGAAAATGAATTAATCAGTCTGTTAAAGTTACACATTATATATTATACATGTATTCATAATATTGTCTTGATATAAAAATGAAAGTGTGACTGTTTCACTCAGTGTGTAATGCAGGCCTATAAAACAAGACTGGTTTTCAGTATGGCAAACGTTGCATTAAAAGGTTTTATGCTGAATGTCACATGAACAAACAGAAAACTAGTCTTATTATCACATCCTCCTGTTAAAGAAAGTCTGGAATGGTGCTGTTATCTGTGGATTTGTTATGGTGTGCAGCTCACTGAGCCAGTTCTTGGTAATATGTGTTAATTTTATTGTATTTTACACTCTTAAAGGTTCTGAATTGCCATTGATTGCTCCATTTAATACTCACTATCCTTCGGCTTAGTCCCTGATCAATCAGGGGTCGCCACAGCAGAATGAACCACCGATTACTCTGGCATATGTTTTTATGTGGCGGATGCCCTTCCAGTTGCAACCCAGAATTAGGAAACATCCATAGTGTGAATTACAAGGGGGTTTGGGGAGGATTGACCCCCCTAATTAATGCTTGATCCCCTCTGAAGGACATCAGAACAAGATGTATAAGTGTGGTCAGCTCTTTAATAGTTTAATAATGGCTTTCTTTAATATCAGCTTTCTTAAATTCATTCATTCATTTTCTTGTCGGCTTAGTCCCTTTATTAATCCGGGGTCAATTACTCTGACAAATGTTTTTATGTGGCGGATGCCCTTCCAGTTGCAACCCAGAATTAGGAAACATCTATAGTGCGAATTACAAGGGGGTTTGGGGAGGATCCAATCATCATTCATGTATTGTTATTGTTATTGTAGTGTTACCGATATTCCTCGTGTTTTGTGAAGTTTTTTAAACTGTAACAACACTGTTAAAACAATTCCTGCTCACATCATGGTAGCTTACACAAAAAAAAAATAAATAAAGGTATCACTTTTAAAAACTTGCACTTAGTAACACTTGTATAATATTGCATTATTAGTTCCCTCAAAATGCAGTTTTCTTTGAATAAATGGATGAAATGTGTATCATCTTTCCTTTTTAAGCTGATAACAGTGTTATTTAAATACATTTACCACAGCATATCCTCATCTAGGAGACTTCCTATTCATTACATTTATAAGAATGAGGAATGTATTTGCCTTGTTATATATTCAGAGGAAACTCTGCATGTGAAGCTTTTTTTAACGTTTAATTATTTCATTATATTTAATAAAAGTTAAACTTTAAAAACACAGAAGTGTCAGTTTTTACTGTACTCCTTCAGTAATAAGGCATTTTTATATAACACAACCCTCACTTTCATTCATTCAATCATTCAGAGCGCATGTCTTTAGACTGTTGTGGAAACCGGAGCACCCGGAGGAAAGCCACTCCAACACGAGAGAACATGCAAACTCCACCCAGAAATGCCAACTGACTCAGGCGGGACTCCAACCAGTGACCTTCTCGCTGTGAGGCAACAGTGCTAACCACTGAGCCAACATGGCACCCTCTTCACATTCAGTAAAGCAGAATAATGGTTATTTCTCTGCTGATGTCATTGCCTTGTGCACGACAATTTTAGTAATTATACATTTACGTACACAAGCTGCGTCCCAAATGGCACACTATACACTATGCACTCATGCACTATGTACTTATGCACTTACACACTCAACAGCATAGTATGTATGTAGTGTCGTCCCAAATGGAGCACTAATGTTTTTTTACTTAGTGGAAATTTAAACCGTTTCCCTGATGATATTTGGCGGTTGCCAAATCAGTGAAATAAATGACTGAATTATCAAATAATACCTGCCGTGAGTATAACCGCATTCACCATCGGGAGGCGCTATAATCACTCTCATAGGAGAATTTTTCTTTCACCATCCAAAATAAATAAAGTTATCCAACAAGTGCACCCGATAGCTCCGCCCCTTCCGCCACGTAAGCAAACCTGCGGTCGTTGAGTGCGTGAAGTTTCCATCATAAATCTTTAGAAGGAAAATATGTTAAAGAGAACCTTTTTTAGGAGATATTACTAGTATTAAACAAAGTTATACTTATAAATATATTAGAAATATTATAACAGGCGATACAGTTATATATAATAATTTAAAATGGACCAATGTAATCATAAATATAAATTGGAAAAAAGATTGGCGTTTTTGTGAAATATATTGTATAAATAACAAAGTAAAAGAAGTTACATTTAAAATATAGAGTATATATCCAGCTAAAGAGGTCTTAGAGAGATTTAATTTGGATATTGATTAATCCTGTGATTTTTGTTGCATGGAAAAGGACTCTATTGTCCACATGTTGTGATTGTATGTACACAAGGATTTTCTGGGTGGATGTGGAGAATTTTTTAAGAAAGAAAGCAAATATTGTATTCAAGTTAAACAAATTCGATATTTGCTTTTATTATGTTAATACTTGTAAAAAAATTACCTTTCTAGTACAACTTTTTATTATTTTGGGAAAGTTTCATATACATAAAAAAT